ATGGGCCCACCAGCCCTGCCCCTTCCTGGCGGGGGTCCTCTTTTGCTTTGGTGACTCCTGGGGGTGGCACTTGGGGGCCCCATCTCATCCCTGGAAGGTAAGCGTGTCAGGCCCCTTAAGCATGAGAAGGACCCAAGGACCTTGAACCCTGTCTCCCTGTCCCCACCGCCCCCTGACATATGCATATCTCCTCGCAGGGGGTCAGAGGCCCTCAGGGAGCCAGACAGCCCTCAGACCACCCACCTCTGACTTCGGAGAATGGGGTGGGGCCTTGGCCCTCCCTTCCCTCACCGGGTCTCTGCCTCCTCCTGCCCCCTTGGGTGTGACAGACCGTTTGCTTGTGCGGGGGCTGCCGTGATGGTGATTGTGTCCTGATCCCTCTGAGAGGTGAAGCCCCTCTGCCTCCCTCTCCCTGGAGAGCTGTTTCGGGCATAACCCGGGGTGGGGGCCGCTCTGGCTGGAGAAGGAGCCAGGGGGCCTCGCCGCCAGCCTGTGGCCACCGCTTTGGGCAGCAGGCCCAACAGCTCTCCCTCCTGCCAGCTCGCCATGGGGTGGGGCCTCCGCTCAGCCAGGCTCCCCTCTGAGGCTGCAGGGGGGCCTGGATCTACTGGGGCCGGAGGTCAGGGCACCCCACTCCGCACAGCCTGGCACAGGGGCGGGGGCCCCGAAACCTAAGGTTAACTTTCTGTGTGGCCAAGGCAGGTCCTCTCCCTCTCTGAGCCTCTGATTCCCAATCTGGGGAGAAGGTAAGGGCTCTTCGGTAAGGGCCCCTGTTTGCAGGCTGCCGATGAGAAAGAGACCCAAAGGTACCCGATTGATTGAGTCCATGGGCCCAGCCACATACACCTTGTGCCATCTAATGGACAAAGTGGGAACTGCGGGGTGTCCCCACGCCGCCCGCTGTGCCAGGCGCTGGGCAGGGCAGCGGGGCCACCCGGAAGAAACAGCAGCCTCCTGGGGCAGCAGGCAGTAGCCAGGCAGTCACAACACGAAGAGCAGGGGCAGTGAGAGACGTTGCACTGCAGGGGCAGATGGCTCCTGGTGGGGGGAATCAAGGCGGCTTCATGGAGGAAGCAAGGGATGGCACAGCCAGAAGAGATGGAGAGACATGAAGGCAGCGCAATAGTCAGAACGAGGTGACCCGTGTGGAGGGGCTCAATGCCGTGTGCTGGTGGGAGCCTGGGAGACCCTGGCTGTATACATGGGTGATGTGTGTTCACAGCCCAGCCTCTCCCAGCGAGAATTCTGAGGGTGGGGGTGCTCAGAGGAAGAGATGCCTCATTCGCTCCCCCACCAACCTCATTCTGGAACAGGGACCCTGGGGCAATCCCATAGAAATCCCTCCCTGATGACCCCTTTCTTAAGGCACCAGCCACCCCCCAGCCCCGCCCATGCACCCTCTTTGTCGTTGGCCCAGTCACCTTCCTGTTTCAGTCATGGAGGGCTTACCTTGGGGTGTCCCTCTTCTCCTCCTTCACTTCCATCAGCCTTCCACAGGGTGTCGCCTGGCCTCCCAGGCCCTTGTCCTTCTCTTCTCCCCGCCTCAGCCACCCGTCCTGCAAGTCACCACTAATAAGGATGTGACCTTCTGTACCTCCATTCAGAACATCCCTTTCCCTGGACACCCCTCCTGCACTCAGTGTCCCCACTGCCACAATTCTTCCCGCAGTGCCTGGAGCCCCCTTTCTCTTTGCCCAGCGTGGATCGAGGCCCAGTGCTATCCCCAGACCCTGTGCACCCCCGGAGGCCTGCAGCCACTCACCTCTGCAGCCCTGCCTGGGTCTTGCAACACCCCTTTCATGATTCCCATCAGCAGACAAGCCATTCCCTGATTCCCCCCCCCTTCCCTTAAATGAGCTTCCCTGGACTCACACTCCCCTAGTTCCCGCCCATTTCTGTCCCCTGAGTGTTTGCAAAACGTCATTAGTGTTGTCCACGCGCTCCATCCACTGCTCCAATGAAACCCTCGTGTCCAGGTGGCCACGGCCTCGGGAGCCTCCAAGTCCCCCAAGGAAGCGTTTCTGTGCTTCCTTCTTCCCCTCCTGGCTCTTGGGGCTCCTCCCTCACCCAGAGTCTCTACCACACCATCGGCCACGTCTCCTCCCGCAGACCGCCCATGTGAGATGGGTGCCTGGTGCCCTCCTGGGCCACCGCTCTCCACACACCCTCTCCCCGGGGCCTCCGCCAGGACCACCGCTGGGAAAGTGCTTCTCACTCTGATGACACCTGAGCTCATAGCTCTGCTCTGTCCTCTCGCTTATCTCCGGGGTCCCGTTCCAGAGACAACTCCACTGTGACATGGACCAAACACGCTCCGTCTCCCTGTGGTCATCCTGCCGGAAATGCAGAACCGGACGCTGCTCCCGTGGAAACCCCCGGCAAACCCAAATCGTGAGACTCTACAAAACAACTGGCCTTTCTGCTTCAAGGGTCAGGGTCACGGAAGATGAAGAAAGGCTGAGAAACCGGCCCAGATTAGAGGAGAGTAGGTGGACGGGATGACAAGACACAGTGTGAGATCCTGGTTTGGATCCTGGTCCAGGAAGAAAACTCCAGGAGGGTAACTGACAGTGTGAGGGAGAGGGGCAGGTGAGTTAGCAGAAGCCTTGTTTGCTCATTGTCCTGTGGCTGTTTAACATTTGGGATCAGCTGCTTTGGCTCAGTGGATAGAGCATCGGCCTGTGGACTGAAGGATCCTGTGTTCGATTCTAGTCAGGAGTACATGCCCAGGTTGTGGGCTAGATTTCCAGTAGGGGGCGTGCAGGGGCAGCCAATCAATGATTCTCTCTCATCATTGATGCTCCTATCTCTCTCTCTCTCTCTCTCCCTCTCCCGTCTCTCTCAAATAAATAAAAATACATTAAAATTTTGTGTAAAAAAAAAAAAATCTAAAGGAAAAAAGGAACCTCCGCTTTTCAACACCACATCACCAAGAACCTGTGCTTCTCTCAGGCTTCCATCTCTCAGGAAACAGCAGCTTCATCCCTTTTTTTTTTTTTTTTAATTTAAAAACATTTTATTGAGTTTTTACAGAGAGGAAGGGAGAGAGAGAGAGAGTTAGAAACATTTATGAGAGCCGAAGCCAGTTTGGCTCAGTGGTAGAGCATCGGTCTGTGGACTGAAAGGTCCCGGGTTCGATTCAGGTCAAGGGCCCGTACATTGGTTGCGGGCACATCCCCGGTGGGAGGTGTGCAAGAGGCAGCTGGTCGATGTTTCTCTCTCATCGATGTTTCTAGCTCTCTCTCTCCCTTCCTCTCTGTAAAAAATCAATAAAATATATTTTTTTTTAAAAAAGAAAAGAAAAAGAAACATCTATGAGAGAAAAACATCAATCAGATACCTCCTGCACACTCCCCACTGGGGATATGCACGCAACCAAGGTACATGCCCTTAACCAGAATCGAACCTGGGACCCCTGAGCCTGCAGGCCGATGCTCTATCCACTGAGCCAAACCGGTCAAGGCAGCAGCTTCATCCTTGACTCCCTACTCTCTCAGACCTCACATTCAGTCCTTCCAGTTCCAAAATGTGCCCTGTCTGTGCACCTCCCTCTACCCTTTTGGTCCTGCTGTGCTGAGCCACCTGGCCTTCTCACCTCTGTGCTCAGCCCAACACTGTCTTTCTGCTCCTGAGATGCTCCAGTCTCTCCCCAGCCTTCCCACGGGGTTCCTTAGGCCTCAGCTCAGTGCCACCTCCTCCAGGAAGCCTTCCTGGACCACACTCCCCATGGCCACTGCAATCCTCATTCCAGCACAAGGCTGCTTCCTCACTGCCTATGTCTTCCTGAGGTGGCTATAAATTCCACACCATTAGGGACGGCCTCTCTCTGAAGCGTCCCAGTATCCAGTGTCAGGCACATGGTAGGGGTGACTAAACCATGGAACGGTGCCCTGATGGGTGGTGCTGCCCTCTGTAACCCCGCCTCCTCTCCTGAGGCGTCATTCCTGGGTGCACGTGTAGGTCCTTGAGCTCTCCAGCTCCCAAGGGCAGGCGTGAGGGAACCCCTTTTCTCTCCCTCCTGGTATCTGCAGGGTCGCCTGCCAGCTCTGGCCTCCCCTGGAGGCATCTCCAGAATCCCAAGCCCGCCTCTGGAATGCGGGGCCTGTCTGGGGAATGTCAGGGCTGGGGCGCAGGTGGAGAGGCTGTGGAGGGGCTGGGCGGAGCAAGGACAGCTGCTGGCATTCTGGCTGGAGCCCAGACACCATGGCAGCTGTCCCTCCTGCAGGCACAGCAGCTCACACCTCCACTTCTCTGCAGCACCCCCTCTCAAGGCCAGTGTCACTCTCTGGCCCTAGCTCTGGCCTGGCCACCCCCACTGAGAGCCACCAGGCCTTGAGCCTCCACTCCCTGTTGGGAGGGAAAATGGCTTCCAGGAGCCTCTGAAGTTTGAGAAAGGTGGAAATGATTCCCACACCACCTGGCCCATCAAACAGAGCCTCCCCGCGAGGGTGACCTTGAAAGGCCCCTGTGCCTCACTGGGCCCAGGTCCTCACCGGTCACACGGTGAGGGCAGGTTCGCCCCCTTGGTCCCTGGGAGTCAGTGGTGGCTGGAGGGAAATCCAAGTGAGTGACAGATGGGCCCACTGGGCCCCACAGCACCCTCTTCTCCCCGACCAGAGCTGAGATGGAGCTTGGACTGCTGGGCCGAGGGGCACCCCGGGCTTAGCCGGGTGCTGCAGGGAGTTATTCCTCCCTCCAGACACAGGGCCCCCGGCTGCCCAGGAGCTGGTGAAATGCAGGTGCCCCGGCCACCACAAGCTCCAGATGCTGAGTCGCTGGAAGCAGCCGCCCTGGGCGTCAGTCGTTACAGAAAGGAGGCAGCGGGGTCCGGAGCATGCTAGTCTCCGATCCAACCTACCCCTCCTGCGGAAGGCAGTGTGTGGGGGGGCTGGAGCCTGGGCCCTGGGAGAGGGGAGGAAGTGGCCCTCAGGGCAGGAGTAAACACTGGCCGGGGAAATGTCCACAGACCCTCCTCCCCAAAGGAAAGCAGACACCAGGCCTCCAGGGAGCAGGGCTTTATTTGTATTCCCCAGGACAGGGCTGGGGAGGGAGCCAGGGAGGGCCCTCGGTCAAGGACACGACCAGGATCACATTGTGGGGGCCCCGGCCCCCTGCTCCGCCCCAGGGCCCAGCGGGAGTTGGAAGGTGTTACTGCAGCTCCGGAAGGCGGGCATCTACTCCACCCCCTTCATGAACTCCAGGAATTCTGCGGGGAGAAGGGCAGGTGTGGGTCGGAGGTGGGGGCGGCACGGCGAGGGCAGCGGGAGATCCAGCGCACCCCCCCTCCCCTCACCGTCATAGTCGATGCGGCCGTCGTTGTTCTTGTCGCCGTCCTTCATGAGCTCCTCAATGTCGTCCTCTGTGATGGTCTCACCGGTCGCCTGGAGCATCACCTTCAGCTCGTCCAGGTCAATGTAGCCGTCCGCGTTCCTGCAGGGAGTGGGGGCGAGGGAGGTCTCAGGGCCGCTGGGAGATAAGACCTCCCGCTCCCTCATTGCACAGAATGGGAGACTGAGACCCGGAGGCCATACCGCTGTCCCTTTCCCCGGCTCTACTACAGTGGGGGTCAGAGGTCAGAGGTCAGGGGTCACGCACTTACTTGTCAAACATGCGAAAGAGATCAGATAGCTCCTCCTCAGACTTCCCTTTACTGTCATCCTTCATGCACCGGACCATCATGACCAGGAACTCCTCGAAGTCTACTGTGCCGCTCCCTGAGGGGCGGGAGGCACGGCCACGAGAGAGGAATCGTCGGAACGGCTGGCACAGCCATTGATTGATCCTAGGCCCTGGTGTCCTCACTGCAGCCACCCACCAACTCCGTGAGGAAGGTGGCCATTCTACCCATTTTAGATATGAGGCGACTGGGGCTCAGAGACGAGCACAGAGCAGTGAGTGGCAGGGCCGGGATTCGGATCCCCCGTGGCCTGCGGAGCAGAGGGGCTTACCATCCTCGTCCACCTCATCGATCATCTCCTGCAGCTCCTCAGGGGTGGGGTTCTGGCCCAGCATCCTCATCACCTTGCCCAGCTCCTTGGTGCTGATGCAGCCGTCCTCGGCGCCCAGCACGAAGATGTCGAAGGCCGCTTTGAACTCTGTGTGTCCGACGGGGGACGGGCAGTGGGACGGTCAGGGCGCAGCAGCCAGGACCCCAGATGGCCAGAGCCCTGGGGTCACTGACCAACCGGCCCCCGTCCCTCTGAGACCCCGAAGGTCACAGCAAGAGAGAGACTCCAGCATCGGGGCTCCAGCCTGGGGTCCTCAGGCTCCCCGAGCCCAGCCCTGGCCCCCCCCCCCCCCCCCCCGGCAGGTACGTTGGGGAACTCACCATTTTTCTGCTCTTCTGTCAGCTGCTCTACCTGGAGAGGAAAAGAGGGCTCAGGATTCGGGCTCAGGCTCTAGCTGCTGGTGAGGAAACCAACCCATCTCACAGGCGGGACAAGTGGAGCCAGAGAGGCAGGCCCTTCCCGGGTCACTGAGACCTCAGTCCTTCTTTCCTGCCCCCCAAGCCCTCTGGGGACCCCAGCAGGGCCAGGAGGGCAGGTGGGCACCCCCTCCAGGGCCAAGGTGACCCTGAGTAACAATAGTCCGTGACCACCCAATGCCCGCTGAAACCTAAGCTGGGTGGCCGAGGGACAGCTGTCCCTCAGGTTGGGACAATAAAGCCAGGGTGGGGGTAGGTAAAGCCGCTCACTGTAACCTGACCAGAGTGGCCACTGGGCTATTTTTAACGGGGGACAAAGTTAAACCTGGTGATTGTTCTGGGGACTCTGGCATGCAGGGGGGCGGGGCGGCGTTATCTGGCCCCCTGGCCTGCTGGTGCCTCAGGAGCCAAAATTAGTCCCCAGCCCCGCCAGGCCTTGTATGGGCACGGGCACAGGACTGTTCCCCCAGCTCCCTGGGCTCCTGCAGGCGAGGCCGGGGCACCCCAGAGCCAGCTGTAGCCACCCCGGCCGGCAGTGGGGCCAGGGTCCTGGGGCGGAGAGGAGGATTCCTTCAGAGACAGTTGTCTGTGTCAGATGTCCTTGTCTCTGGGGCATGGGGAGGTGTGGGGGGGTCCTTCAGCAAACTAAGCTTTGCACCGAGATGGAAGAGCATCTGAAGCCCCACAGAATGTTGAGGGACTTGGGGTGTCCAAGCTCCAGCCCTAACACCCGCTAAGCCACTGCGCCCTGAGCCTGCCAAGCCAGATAGGAGCTTCGGCTCTCCCCATGCCCAGTCCTTCCCTGCCTGTCCCTAACTTTAAAGCCCCTTCCCCAGCTCAGGATTAGACGCTGCAGCTCCCTCTTCACAACCCCTACCACCCCCTCCACAGCATCTTCAGCCAGCCCGGGGCCTGCCGGGGGCTGGCGGGTCATGAGAGTGTGAGAAGCAGAATTGAGGGGCAGAAATGGGTGTCTCTGAGCCACCAGAGAGACAGCTCAGAACAAAACGAGAGAGACGCTGAGAAAGATCCAAAGTCACAAATGCAGAAAGGCGTGGCCGAGAGGCAGCGACACAGACTACAGACCCTCGGAGACAGAGGCAAGCGTGATGCTGAAAGGTGCGACCCCCTCCCTCCTCCGCCCGCTCTCCGATCCCTGAGTCCCTCGCCCCTTCCTCACCCTGAACACCAGACCCAGCCTCCCCTTGAGGGCCTGGGCTGAAAGTATGTAGGTCTTCTCCGGGGTCCCCACCACTTCCCTGGGATGACCTGGTCCCCCCCATCCTGAGCGGAGGGACTCCCCCTCGGGCCCACCCGTCCCCGTCCCTCACCGCAGCCTTGTAGATGTCATCCATGCTGTCGGCTCAGAAGGCAGGCTGCTGGGCTAGCCAGGAGGCCCCGCGCTTAAATAGCCCTGCCCAGCTGCATTCCGGGCCCAGCCCACCCCTGCGTGTAGCATCCTGCCCCCCTCCCCCCAGTCCTGGTGATCTCAGGCTGGCCTGAGTCCCCGTGTCCTCTGTCCAAGACAGGAGGGTGAAGGGCTGAAAAGACCAGCTCTCCTACCCTTTGTTCCCCAGGAGGCTCTCTGGAAAGATTTCTGGAATGAATGGAAACATGAGCCTAGGACGGGACAGGAACTACAGAGCAGTGGGGCCCAGGCCAGGCCTCTACACACAGCAGCTCAACCTCCCCTCCCAATCAGGGAGGTGGATGATCTGACTCCCACTTTTCAGATGAGGAAACTGAGGCTCTCAGAGGGGGTGATGACTTGCCCAAAGCCTGGCTGACTTGGCAGCCCCAGCCTCAACTTAACTTCTCCGCAGTGGGGGGCAGCTGTGTGCACGGAGAGGCTGGGAGTAGAGGCCCCAGCTAAAGGAAGCCTCCAGCGCTGAGCTCAGGTCCTGCGCGGGGGACCCACCTTAGGGCAGAGTCGTCTGGAGCCCTCCAGCCAGTGCTGCCAGAGGAGCCACACCCCACACCGCTTCCCTCATCGGAGCAGCACTAGCTCTGGGCTTGCTCAGCTGCCGTCACCCAACAAGCACATCTGCAGATGCCCATCTATGCCTGACTGTCCCCTTCCTTCTGACCCAGCTGTGTTATCACCTCCTCTTCCTAAGTATGAGTGTGCCCTGGGTCGGAGCTCTCTCTGTCTTTATGCCCGTGCTTCCCAGGCGGGCTCTGTGGTTCCTGGGTCCAGGGCCAGTCTGTCGCCCTTTTACGCTCCGGTTTTAAGCTCTGGTGGAACCCCACTGGGGAGTCTTGTGCCCAATGGGCAGCACATATGCCTTCTCTCCGTCTTCACTCCCTCACCCCAGACTGAGTTCCCATAATCGCAATTTAACCCTCTCAATTCTCCAGGAGCCCATGTGACAGGATACCGAGTCTTGAAGAGGTTCACAACTGGCCCAGAGCTGTTGTTCGGGCTCTGAACACGGCTTCCATCTTCAACTCCCCGCTCCCCATCCCCATCCCGTTCCCTACAGAGGAGCCCAAGAGCCAGGTGGAGGGTGATGACTTCTTCCCTTTTTTTTTTTTTTAATTAATTAATTAATTTATTTATTTATTTATTTTTACAGAGAGGGAGGGAGAGGGATGAGTTAGAAACTTCGATGACAGAGAAACATCCATGAGCTGCCTCCTGCACACCCCCTATTGGGGATGTGCCCGCAACCAAGGTACATGCCCTTGACAGGAATGGAACCCAGGATCCTTCAGTCTGTAGGCCAACAGAACCTGCCCTGCCCAGGGCGACTTCTTCCCTTTTCCGGAGGGAGAAACTGAGGCCAGGCGAAGCTGTACTTGCTTCGGGTAGCCAGGGAAGTGCTAGGCCTTCTGTCCTCCGGGGCATCAAACGGTCCTGCTCGAAGCCTCCCGCACGGGCCTCAGTGTCTCCCGCGCGGAGCAGGCACCGCCGGCGCCGGGGGACAGTCCCGCGCGGCCTGCGCACGCGCGCTGGGCGTGGCAGCTGTCAATCACGCGCGAGGGGCGGGGCGAAGACGCGGAGAGGCGGCGGGGGGCCAAGATGGCTGCGCGGCGCGCGGCGGGGGCGGGGGCGGGGGCGGGCGCGGGCGCGGGCGGCCGAGGGGGCCGCGGGGCGGTGGGACGCTGACCCCGCCCCCTGCTGCCGCTGCCTGTCTGCACCGGGGCCGCCGCCGAGCCCGGAACATGGCGGCTGCGACGCGCAGCTTCGGGCCCGAGCGGGAGGCCGAGCCGGCCAAGGAGGCGCGCGTCGTGGGCTCCGAGCTCGTGGACACGTACACGGTGCGCGGGGGCGCGGGCCGGCACCTGGAGCCCGAGGCCTGGGGGGTTGGGGAGGAGCTCTGGGCCCCGCGACCCGGGGAGAATGGGGAGGGGCCGGCGATTTGGAGGAGGGGGCCTGGGATCAAAACGCCCGGGGAAGGGCCCTGCGCCCCGCGAGCCCCGGAGGAGCCCCTGGAAGGGGTTTGGAGAAGGAGGGCGCGTTCAGGGAAGGAGGCTAGGTCCGGGGAGGGGCCAGGGATACAGGGAGGGATGGCGGGAGCATTGGGGTCTGGATGAGGCAGAGGCGTCTCTAGATCCTCTGGGCCTGGAGGGGCGACGTCCTTGGGGGAGGGAGGGGGTTTAGGGACGGGGTGTCACGGGTGGAATTCGGGGAACCCTGCGGGTCATGGAGAAGGGGAGGGGGCGGAGCCTTGATCTGGGGAGCCAGGGGTCGCAGTTGAGATTTGCTCTCAAGTGAGGACATTTGAGGATTGCGTTTGGGACCCCTAGGTTCAGGGGGGTCTGGCAGGGATAAGAAAGGGGAGGGGGGGGGGGCTGGAGCCCAGACACGGGGGAGCTGAGGGGGTCGCTCAGGGCTGAAAACGCAAGACCCGGGGACCTTAGGGGTCTTCGTAGCTTTGGGAGCAAGTCCCGACCCCACCCCCCTGCACACACGCACGCACGCACACACTTCAAGGCTGTGGGAGAGACGGGGGGCGGCGGGGGAAGATAGAAAATGGGGAGCGTCCCCGGCTATGATGGGGTTGGAGGTGCTCCTGGGTTGGATGTCAGGCCTACGGGCCTGACAGGGCTGCCTGGGGTGAGGGTGCCTGAGCACCTCTCAGCCTCCTGGCCTTTGTTCCCACAGGGTGGGGGGCTTCGGCCCCGCCTGGGTCCCGTCCCCTTGGCCTTCATCCTAACCCTCCTCCTGAAGGCCATCCCTCTGGCTCTTTCTGCCTTCTTGGGCGGAAGGGAGGGGAGGGATGCTGCCAGGCTGGGAAGAGGGGCTACGGGCAGGTCCTGGAGCCTCAGGCCGGCCCTAGAGAAATGGCTTCTCTGTAGAGGGTTCAGCTGAGTTGATGATTTTCTCCTCCCCTCCCCTGCTGCAGAGAGGGGCGGGGCATTAGGATTTGGGGTCCTCCTCTAGGTGAGGGTTCAGGTCTCTAAGCCAATGACTGGCTGGCCATCATCACCCTTGGGCTGCGTTCAGCTGGAGGGTCAGCCCCCAAAAGCTCTCTCTATTCCGCAGGGCTGAGCCCCTCCTTTGAATGGGTGTGGGGAAGGTGGGTGATGGCCCTACCATTTTTGTCTCTAGGTGTGCTGAGTTGATTGTTAGTATACCTGCCTTTTCATTGAACACTTGCTGCAGAGCATTTTCATGCATTACCTTATATTATTTGATTACCTTATTTGATCCTTAAACCTATCAGATTTCAAGAGGGAGGAACAGGCTCAGTGAAAATTCAACTCCTGGTCACTTACATACGTGACTCATGCATAAGCCACAGCCAGGGAATGGCAGAGCACGTTGTCTTCCTTGACTCCAAGGCCCAGTCCCCTAACCAACTGCTAAGCCATTTTGCCTTCTGTTATGGCTTAATAATTCATCACCACTCTTCCCCACCCCCACCCCCCACCTCAGCTTCTTAGTGCCTTGACCCTTGGTTCGCAGCAGCAGTCACAGCTGTTAACCAGCTAAAAAGATTGGAAAAGGGCTTGTTTCCAGGATATAGGCAGGGCACCTGGGGAAAAATCTAGTAGGAAAGCTGGCTCTGCCAGACCTGGCCTTGTTCTGCCTCGGAATGGTGGTTTTACCTGAAGCTCTGGTTGGATTGGAGAATGGAGGCAAAAAACTAAAGGGATGGCTTGGTATGATAGTCTGCTCTGTTCCTCACTGTTGGGTAGAGCCACAGGCTTATCCCATGTGCCAGGTCCAGTGCTAGGACCATGGAGGAGGCTGAGGCTGAGAAGGGGCCCTAGAGTCAGGTGCAGCCTAGCTTGTGGGGTGGGAGTGGGGGATGCTGGATGGAGGGAAGAGGGGAGGGGGAGTTTGAAAGGGTCTGCAGCTATTGCTGGGGGTGAGGCAGGGCTCACCTGTCACTGACTAGTCAAGGGTTGCCTGCTTCCTCTTTTAGGTTTACATCATTCAGGTCACCGATGGCAACCATGAGTGGACAGTCAAGCACCGCTACAGCGACTTCCATGACCTCCATGAGAAGGTAAGGAGAGCTGGGGGGCCTGTGTCTCAGAGCTTGGGGGCTTTTAGGCCAAGTTCCCATTGTGCCACAGATGCCTTTTAGGACAAAACATACTCCGTGCCTGTAGCATTCTTTAATGCTCAGGAGCCCAGGTATAAGGAACAGGTTCAGGGTCTCAGGTCTGGTAGGGTTAATAAATAAGTTTACTAATTTAATTGCCAGAAAAACTGGTGGCTTTTGGGAGTTCAATCCTAGCATAAGGCAGTGTGTGAGGAGCATATTTGAACTTTAGTTTTAAGGTAGCCTGTCCTAGCTTGGATGTGAGATGCCGGGACAGTTTCTTGGGGGAGGGAATAGGTTTTAACTTGCTTGACCTGACTGTAGCTATTCTATAACCTGTACTTTAAAAATGGCTGTGATTCCACTTCTTCCTTTGCTTTTGGAAAGAGATGTCTTTCTCCGGGTCATTTGTAGTCCGAAGGTTTTAAAGCAGGCCACCCCCCTGATTGTTTTCATTCTTGTTTGGAGAAAATGGTGACTTTAAGAGCCTGGAGGTCTCCTTTTCTAAATGTCTCCAAAAGGAGCTTCCTGTTTGGGATTATGCTGTATTTGTCATATTCACAAGCTTGATGAGGCCAAACCCAGGTGCCCTGCTTTGTCACTAATCCTGGTACAGCTGCCACGAGGGGCTGGGGACGTCAAGACAAGCATCTGCCTTCAGGCTGCTAGCCTTGATCTTGCAAAGACCAGAAACCTATTGGTCTGTGGTTGACATGCTTATGTTTTTTTACAGCTTGTTGCAGAAAAGAAGATTGATAAAAACCTGCTTCCACCCAAAAAGATAATTGGGAAAAACTCAAGAAGTTTGGTGGAAAAGAGGGAGAAGGATTTGGAGGTCTACCTCCAGACACTCCTGGCCACCTTCCCCGGCGTGGCCCCCCGAGTGCTGGCTCACTTCTTGCATTTTCAGTTCTATGTAAGTTCCTCTCAGGTTTCCTCTTTCCCCTGCAAGCCCACAATCACCTGAGCTCAAGGCGGCACACCTCAGCTTTGAGGAGAGGTGGGCTGGAATTTGATCCTGAAGTTAGAAGGTGGAGGACCATCACCCTGGCGGGGATGGGGTGTGGGTAGAGCATGTTCATCGACAGACTTACCTTACGTTAGTTAGACAGACTATGACTACAGAGAGACTTTCCTCCCCCACAGGCACTTTGCTTAGCAAAAGCGGTCTGTGGGCGTTTAAGCCAGGTTTCTATCCAAATGGATGGAGTAGATGAGAAACAGCTAACACCTGGCATAGACTAGCGTGGAGTTGTTGGCTCACAGTCAAGACTCACTAAGGGATCAGTTTGTGCCAGCAGAATTGCCATCTGGAGGCATTGTCAGGTCAGGTGTGAGGGAGGGTGGGTGGCTTCCTCTGACGGGAGTGTATGTTGTGGAGCAGCTCTGCACCCCCTCTGGCCACTGGTGACAAGATGGGCTTCAAGGAAGGAGGCTTGGCAGTGAAATCAAAACATTAAAAGCAACTAACAGTTTCGCTTTTTATTTTTTATTGATTTGAGAGGGAGGCAGAGCGAGCTAGAGTAACACCCATCTGTTGCTGCATTTATTTGATTCTTGTATGTGCCCTGACTGGGGATTGAACCCATGTCAAGGACACCATTCTAACCAACTGAGCTACTGGCCAGAGCACAATTCCACTTCTTAGAATTTATTCTAAGGAAAAAATTGGGAAACTTTGGAAAGGATTTAGGGATAAAGGTAGTCATTCCAGGATTATAGCAAGATACTGAAAACAAGTCCCACAGGAGGTCATTTTTTTTTTTTTTTTTTTTAATCAAGAGTACAACCAGATAATTGGATATTCTGCTAGAACCGTGGTTGGCAAACTGTGGCTCTCGAACCACATGTGGCTCTTTGGCCCCTTGAGTGTGGCTCTTCCACAAAATACCATGGCCCCGGCGAGTCTATTTTGAAGTGGTGTTAGAAGAAGTTTAAGTTTAAAAAATTTGGCTCTCCAAAGAAATTTCAATCGTTGTACTGTTGATATTTGGCTCTGCTGACTAATGAGTTTGCCGACCACTGTGCTAGAAAAATGATGGTGTGGCTATGGATTTATTGACATAGAAAAATAAGTATTATTATATGAAAAGAGCAGGCTATAAAAAAGTATGTAGAGCCGAAACAGGTTTGGCTCAGCGGTAGAGCATCGGTCTGCGGACTGGAGGGTCCCAGGTTCAATTCCGGTCAGGGGCATGTGCATTGGTTGCGGGCACATCCCCAGTGGGGGATGTGCAGGAGGCAGCTGGTCAATGTTTCTCTCTCATCGACATTTCTAGCTCTCTATCTCTTTCTCTTCCTCTCTGTAAAAAATCAATAAAGTATATTTAAAAAAAAAAAAAGTATGTATAGTTCCATTAAAAAAGAGTTTTGTGGCCGAAACCGTTTTGGCTCAGTGGATAGAGCATCGGCCTGTGGACTGAAAGGTCCCGGGTTTGATTCCGGTCAAGGGCATGTACCTTGGTTTTGGGCACACCCCCAGTATAGGGGGTATGCAAGAGGCAGCTGATCGATGATTCTCTCTCATCGATGTTTCTAACTCTCTATTCCTCTCTGTAAAAAATATATTTAAAAAAAAAGAGTTTTGTGAATATATTTGTGTAGGAAAACTCTAGAAGTTATACACCAAAATAATAATATTAATTATCTCTGGGTGGTAGATTTTTGAAAAATTTACATTTAATAGTTTTCCCTTTCAGGCTCACCTTTTAAGAAGGGACTTATGGGGCTGTTGTCTTAAAGGCCCAAACATGTTTAAAAAACAAATTTTCCTGAAGTATTTTCTGAGTCAGATGGCTGAGCTTTTCTTGAGTGCTAGATTGAGCCTGGACATTGGTCATAGCACTAGTGGTGGGCCACGAAGCTTGAAGGGGCCACATGGGAAAGGATGGCAGTTACAGATGGGAGATGCATTTATGCTTTGATTTTGTTTAGCGTATACCAGCAATGGATGTGGTCAGCAGTTTCCTGGTGTAGGTATCTTTCTACGTTTTCTTTCCTTATGTGAGAAAAAGTTCATGACTCTTTCAGACAAACTTTACTGGTTAGTATTTTAAGAAATACTGCACTGATGAAAGCTTTGAATAGCTATTTAAGGATAAAACTTGTTAGCAGCCCTTTGAAAGTGTGACTCATTGCTTTAAGATGTGGGTCTTTGAGGAGGTAGTCCCTCGGGCTGCCTCAGGTTTTCTCACCTCTGAGCATGGGAAGGCCTTCACTACTCTTCGGAGATATGTTTGCCTGAGGTGGGCTGCGTCTGCCCACATGTGTGCTTCTGGTTTGAGTCGTGCTCTCCTGCTGGAGTAGTATGGACATATTTAAAATTACTGTTATCAGACAGGCCCCCTGGGTTACAATTCCATGGTGTTATTACATCAGAGTTTCTCAACCTCGTGGCATTTAGGGCTGGATAATTGTTGTGGGGGCTGTGTGTGCATACCTCACTTAGTGTAATGTTTTCATACTGTAGCGTAAGCTCCTTTCATATTGTAGCAGAAATCATTACTTTAGTATTTTCATGGGCTAAATAGTCTATTTGGATATACCACATTTTGTTTATCCATTCATCAGTTGATAAACATTTGGATTATTTCCATTTTTTAAAATATATTTTTATTTTTTACAGAGAGGAAGGGAAAGGGATACAGAGTTAGGAACATCGATGAGAGTTAAACATCAATCACCTGCCTCTTGCACACCCCCTACTGGGGATGTGCCCACAACAAGGTACATGCCCTTGACCGGAATTGAACCTGGGACCCTTGAGTCTGCAGGCCTATCCACCGAGCCAAACCTGTTAGGGTGTCCATTTTTAGACTATTTTGAATGATGCTGCTATGAACATTCATATAGAAGTTTTTTGTGGACATGTTTTGTTTCTGTTGAGTATGTAGTAAAAGTAGAATTATTGGATCATATGATAACTGTTTAACTTTTTGAGCAGCTGCCTAATTTTTTTCCAGAGAAACTGTACCATTTGACATTCTCCCAGCAGTGTATATGTTCTTTTCTCCCCACATCTTTGCCAACACTTGTTACTGTCCATTTTTTTGATAGCCATCCTAATGGGTATAAAGTAGTATCTCATTATGGTTTAGTTTTGCATTCACCTAATGACTATGTAATGATGTTGAGCCTCTTTTCATATGCTAATTGGTCATTTGCATATCATTGGAGAAAATATTAAAAACTTTTGTACTTATTAAAAATTAGGTTATTGTCTTTTTTTAAAAATATATCTTATTGTTTTTTTTATAGAGAGGGAGAGGGATAGAGAGTTAGAAACATCGATGAGAGAGAAACATCGACCAGCTGCCTCCTGCACACCGGGGATGAGCCCGCAACCAAGGTACATGCCCTTGACCGGAATCGAACCTGGGACCTTTCATTCCACAGGCCTTTCATTCCTCTATCCACTGAGCCAAACCGGTTTCGGCGGTTATTGTCTTTTTTGTTGTTGAGCTGTAGTTTTTAATATATTTTGGATAGTAGGCCCTTATAAGAAATGTGATATGCAGATATTTTCTTCCATTGTATGGATTGTCTTTATTTTCTTGATAGTATACTTTGAAACACACAAGTTTTAGATGATAGTGAAGTTCATTTTTTGTTGTTTTTTTCTTTCTTCATTAGTGTCAACATCTTGCCTAACCCAAGTTACAAAGATTTACAACTGTGCTTTCTTCTATGAATTTTATAATTTTTGCTCTTATGGTTAGGTATTTGATCCATTTTGTGTTGTGCATGGTGTGAGGAAGGGGTCCAACTTCTTTCTTTTGCAGCATGATTTTAATGGCAAGGAAGAGAGCACTGCTTCTTTCCCACCAGCTCTGACATGGGGTGTCTGGAGGCTGGTACAGTCCTGAGTTGCAGTGAGAGGGCCCTGGGCCTATTGCTGTGCTGCGTCTCTTCAGATAGCCGTCCCCCATAACCTGGACCCTTAATGACAGACATCAATCCAGGACCCTAGAGCAGAGGTTTTAAAATTCGATGAAGTGGGATATCCAAGTAGAATTCCAGCACCCATTTTGGGGTAGGCTGTGTAACTGTGGACTTGAGAGGTAGGCAGAACCAAGTTTATTTCAGCCCAGCTGCTTTCAACTCAGGCGTCTAACCTCTCTGTGTCCTCGTTCCTCTTTTGGAGCTGGAGAGTGGTGGCCTTGGTTCTTGAGGATTGTGGGGGATGATGCAGTGAAGGGAGAGAGCCTGAAAGAGCAGTGGTCCCCGTCCGGGCACACCAGGTGCCAGCCAGTAATGGCTGTCCTGGTAAGGAAAGGCTCTCAGTTGTCTTCAAAGGTGGCATTATATCATTTTCTTATTTTAAAGCCAGTTGGTTAGAACAAAGACACTTTGAAATTTGAAATCAGGAGCTGTAATGGAACTGTTACCGTCTTCATACCAGCCTTAGCATTCCTATCCATTTGTTTTAGTTGCAAAGTACTGAGCATGTACATGATAACAGATTTCTTTGCAACTCACAGTCTTGGAGCTCTGTTCAGTTAAAGTTTAGGCCTGAGTCCTAGCCGGTTTGGCTCATAGATAGAGCATCAGCCTGCGGACTAAGAGGTCCCAGGTTCGATTCTGGTCAAGGGCACATGGCCCAGGTTGTGGTTCCTCCCCAGTGGGGAGTATGCAGGAGGCAGTCAATCAATGGTTCTCTCTCATTAATGTTTCTGTCTCTCTTTCCCTCTTCCTTCCTCTCTGAAATCAATAAAATTATATATTTTTTAAAAAGTTTAGGCTTGAATTCCTCAATGTGCAATTTTTACTTCAAGTTGAATGGCACATAGTATAGCTCATCTTGCTATAATGCCTCTTCACAGACATGAAGTGAAAGTTATACAGGGACACACACATGAAAATGTGTGTTTAAACCATACAGTAATGTGTAACTGAGCCCCTCATTAATACCCCATCGAGCGTTTTGTTCAAGCATGTGCCAAGCAGAGGCATCAGGCTGCCCTGGATTGTGCACTGAGTGCAGGTGTATGTGTTGTGGGTGCAGCTGGTCATGGGGGTTCACGTACCAGACACACTCAGTCAGAATGGCAGTTGCAGAGCCACAGCCCAACTGGTTTACGGTGTGTTTGTGTGCAGTTCACACGGCTGCCCAAGGCTGCACACCAGCACATGACCCGTGCAGGAACTGAGCAGTTGGTCTAGGACAGTGGTCGCCACGCCAGCCTTTAAGTCCTCATGATCCGCGGACCACCAGTTGGGACCGCTGATCTAGAATACACTTGGGGGTGGGTGTTATAGTTTGTAAGCATAGCTAATAATGTTTTTAATTGACATTTTTATTGAGGTAAAAAGAATGTCTTTTTAAAAAAATACATTGCAATTCAGATAATTCATGGCACCCTGAAGCACTTCAGATCCCTTCAGCGAGGCTGGGTGAGGCAGTGGGGAGTCGTCCGTCCCTGAAGGTTACCTCCGGGTAGTGTCTGCAGCAGCTTTGACTGGGGGCCACCTAGACCCCCCTTACTGCCTGGCCGGAGGGATGCTTGCTTCTGCACACCTTTGCTCTGCACACAAGGCTGTAGGATAGCCAGAATACTCTCTGAGGAGGCAAGGTGTTTCTCTGAGGAGACCAGTGCTTGAGGCATTTCTTTGTTGCTCCCTGATTAATAAAATTTAGTTGAGTTTAAGTTGTTGTGAGACTGGAGTTGAACTCCAGTGTGAACGGGCAGCCTCTCCCCTTTCTGGCGCTCTCCTCTCGGAGCTGCTGTCCCTCCAATGGCCCTTTTACATTAGGCCGTGCGTCTTGGCACACTCTGCGCTCAGTAATGCTAGGGCTATGTTTGCTCATTTTTCTTTTTGGCTTTTTGTCTATTTGTGTGTGGGTGGGGGGGTGGTCTCAAAGTTATTCTCACACAATATATAAACTGAATTTCAAGCAGATTAAAAGAAAAAAAAGATACCATAAAGTACTAAAAGAAAACATTAGAAAAATATTGGTGTAATCTTAGAGTGGGGAAGAGGACCCAGAAGTCAAAGGAAAAAAAATCACAGGTTAAACAACATGAAAATGAAAAACCCTTTGTATGTCAGGAAAACCACCAGGAACAATGGTAAAAGGCATGCACATACAGGGAGAAGATATTTGCAGTATATAAATACCCATCTTCTATACTAATAAAAGGGTAATATGCTAATTAGACCTGGGAGACCTTCCGGACAAAGTCATGGTGACGGGGCCGAGGCAGAGGTGGTTAGGGGCAATCAGGCCAGGAGAGGAGGGCAGTTGGGGCTGATCAGGCTGGCGGAAGGGGAGGGGCCAGTTGGGGGCGAGCAGGCTAGCTTGGGGGGGGGCAGTTGGGGGTGATTAGGCCAGCAGTGGGGGGTAGTTGGGGGCGAGCAGGCCAGCAGGGAGGCAGTTGGGGGCAAGAAGGCAGGGGGGGCAGTTGGGGGTGAATAGGCTGGCAGGCAGAGTGGTTAGGGGCGATCAGGCAGGTAGGCAGGTGAGAGATTAAGAGCCAGCAGTCCTAGATTGCAAGAGGGATGTCTTACTGCCTGTTTAGGCCTGATCCGTCAGATATCCCTCGAGGGGTCCCAGATTGGAGAGGGTGCAGGTCGGGCTGAGGGGATTTTGTGCACCAGGCCACTATTTGTACATAAAAGGTAAGAAAGAGACCAACAGGAAAGCAGGAAAACAGGAAAACAGGAAAGCACTCCCTGTTTCCTCTAACGTGGTGCCTTCTGAGTCCTGTAAACACGTGAATTGCACGTCCTGGTGGCAGAGATGTTCCTGTCAGTTATGAAGGCAGTTGTGCAGCCTCCTTCTGGACCCGTTTATGAAAAGTCCTTTTGGCTGCCATCCGTCAGTTAAAATCCTTACCTGCAGGATGTGGGACTGAAGGCTTGGGGGCCCTGCCAACCCCACAATGACACCACTAAAGTGCTGAAGCAATATGTACAGAGAGGCTTCAAGGCCAAGTGCTTGGGCGTGTGACTTTGCTAGTTTCTAGCTACATAGAACTGGAGAAGTTACAGCACCTCTCACCTCATTTGCTCATCTGCGAAGCAGGTTTCAAAATAATGTCTTCCCCACATAAGACGTTGGGAGGATTGAATGAGCCACCACATGGCAAGTACTGGGGCCCTAGCCCAGCGTGAATTTGCACCTCAGAGTGTGACTGAGAGCTTGTCCTTGTCATTTCTCTGTCACATCTTTCCAAATGAGGTTCTTTCCTGCCGCTTTCTCATGGCTGTCACAGGGCCTGGCGGGTGGGCTCGCTCTTTCCTAGGACACCTTTGGACCGTGTCAGGAGGGTTGGCTTGGGAAGCTCTCTTATCCCGAAGGGTCATGGGAGCCCTTTTCCAGGGGCAGCAGGGCTTCCTCTCTACCCTGCCCTCCTCGGATCTCCCAGGGCCAGTGTAGGGAGCTGCTGGCTTCCTGGCTAGTTCTTGGCATAGCCAAGTTTGCCAGCCTCCTGAGCCTCATGTTCTCAGCCAGTGCTTCTCTGAGTTTAAGTTGCAGCATTAGTCTGGTTTCTGTTCTGCTTTTGAGGAGACATTTTAAATGTCCATATAACTGGGAATATTTCTTTTCCCTTTCTTAGGCACCTGGATTCGTTATAGGTTTACTCCTTTATTTTGTCAGGCTTTCTGGAGAGCTGGTGTTGCAATAGCAGAGGAGGTAGATGGGGAGTGTGCAAGTTCTAATGACTGCAAATTCCAGTGACTAGGGGCAGGAGACTTCCTAACGGGGTTTTGTTTTCTCTGCAGGAGGTAAATGGCATCACTGCCACACTGGCTGAGGAGCTCTTTGAAAAAGGTATGTGGCCAGGGGTCCCCGAAATACTGGTGTAACTTACTCAGCACTGTTAGGTGGCCAGGGGCATGTGGCACAGAACTCCATCTGTTGGGCTGTGCCAAGTGAATCCTAGCCAGGGCTCACCTCCCAGGAGTTGCCCAGGTCCCTGAATCTGATCCACAGCCAAGCCTGCCTGCCTACCTGCCCTGCTGGCAGCCAGCTCTGAGGAGGTGGGGGGTCCTTCACCTTGGGGCGCTCAGGTTCTTGTCTTCGGGGGTAATCCCAAGCTCAGGATCTAGTTCAAAGCCCTGTGGGTGGAATTCTGGAAGGTGAGGAGCATCGTGCCCTCTTGCATCTCATTTGTCCTTACCTCAAAGTGATCAGATGGCGAACCAAGGAGCTGCGCGCGGGTCATGGACCTGCAGCGGAGCGTAGTTACAGTAGCTAACGTGCGCGGTGTGCTGCTTGTGGTCCAGCCTCGTGTTCAGCATCTTACTGCCACGCCGCCTCCTCTCTCTCCTTTGGGGGGTGGGGGGTGCAGATGAGGGCACTGGGGATGAGGGGCTTGGTGATCTGCTTGAGGATACATGGCTGGAAGGAGCCGAGTGAGGACCAGATGCTCAGAACCCCTGCCTGCTCTCAGGCCCTACACAGTGCTGGCATTTGAGGCTTCCCCTAACTAAGGTGTCTGTATCTTGGAGGCTGCGGCCTAGGTCTGTTGTCCACAATGCTGCCTTGCGTCAGCTTTATCCTGGCTTAAAACGTCAGGTTTTAACCTGAGCCTCGCCTCAGGGAGGCTCCCCAGGCACACATCCCCATGGCCCTTCCCTCCCTGATGCCATGTTCTGGGTGTGCCCTGAGCCCACCATGAGTTCAGGAGGCAGCTGCTCTTGTGTGCCCAGAATGGTGGCTGATGTGGTGCAGTGCCCACAGCAGGTGCTTGCCAAATGCTTGTTAACTGTTAGCCAGGTGGGCAGACGCCCTGGCCGCTGGACTAGGACAGGCTGGAGGTGGATGCTCACCTTCGGGTATGGCTGTTGCAGGAGAACAGCTCCTGGGGGCCGGCGAGGTCTTTGCCATGAGGCCCCTGCAGCTCTATGCGGTCACTGAGCAGCTGCAGCTGGGAAAGCCCACGTGTGCCAGCGGGGACGCCAAGACTGATCTCGGGCACATCCTGGACTTCACCTGTCGCCTTAAGTACCTTAAGGTAAGTGCAGCAGCTCAGTTGTAGACATGGTGGGCGTGCAGCCAGCATGGGGCCTAACGGCTCACTGACTGGCAGTGTGTGTGAAAGAGGCTGGTGGGCCGTCCCAGGAAGGAAGGCCACTTTGGTGTTCTTGGCACTGAGCTTCTGGCTGTGAGCACCAGGGGGCAGTCATGACCTAATGTTCCTTGCTTTAAACCTCAGCTTTAGCCTTTGTTGATGGGGTGCATGCCCACCATGCCTCATGGCCATCCAGATCTTAGGCTGTGGAGCCATGTGGCAGCATCCCTGACAAGCCATATCTGTGCTGCAGGTTTCTGGCACAGAAGGACCTTTTGGGACCAGCAACATTCGGGAGCAGCTCCTGCCTTTCGATCTGTCGATATTCAAGTCTCTCCATCAGGTGGAGGTAAGGCCGTGGGCTGGAGTGCAGGCGAGGCTGAGCCCTGCACAGGGACTGTCTTGCTTAGGAGTAACTGGACTTAATGTAAGCACTGTTACTTTTGTGCTTGTCCGTCTGTGGCAGATTCCGTCTGGGGAGTAAGGCCAACCTGAAGGCAGAGAAAGGGGCTCACCTTCGGGTATGGCTGGTCTGCATGTCTCTACCCCTGGCATGGGCAACATTTGAACAGGATGGAGCACCAGAGCTCACTCCTTTGGCTTCCGAGATCAGACGAGATCGGGCGCGTTCAGGGTGGTATGGCCGTAGACCAGAGCTCACTCCTTTGGGGCCTCCTCGTTCGAGTTGAAGTGCTGAGAAGTCATCCTGAGGCTCAGGCAGAGCTAGTTCAGGTCTTTCCCAAGGCAGGTCAGCAGAGGGCTTTGAGGTCTCTACCTTCTGGCACGCCCATACATAACTTTGCATTACTCACTGCTGAACGTTTGGGTTCAGGATGCCAGTTTTGTTGCCATTTTTAAAATGAAAGGGGGATTCTATAACGAATAATACAAAATGTACTAAAACATCTATTTCTCAAGCATGGCCTTTGTGTGCAGCCCTGTGCCCCATGTTTGATGTACACTCCTTGGTGGATTCTTCCCAATATCCCTGTAAAGTGGGCACTTTTATTCCCCTTTTATAGTTGAGAAAACTGAGGCGTAGGGAGGTTGGGAAGTTTGGCCAGGACCACGTGGTTAATGAGGAGAAAGCTGGGATCTCATCTCACCTGATCCCAACGCCAGAGCCTCTGCCACACATTGGACTATTCTGCCTGCAACGTTTGGGCTTGTCTCAGCCTGGAGGACCGCTTCCCTTGGTGGGAACTCAACCAGTGCAGGCCAAAAGAGGACTGAGAAGTCAGAGGGTGCCTGGCCCAGCCTTGCCCGGCTCAGCCGGCTGAGGCTCCACTGCCAGGGTCTAGGTATGTGTCACTCCAGCAGTGGCTCAGGGGAGTGTGCTTCGGCTTTTGCATGCCCCCCGTCCCCGTGCCCCCTCACAGGACAGCGCACACCAGGGGAGTGGGGCAGGGTGAACAGGAGGGTCCACGTGTTCACTGTGCTTCAGAGGCCCCTTGCTCTCAGCTCTGATCTCTGTGGCCCACTTTCTGTCCACCTGCCGAGCCCCAAGCAGCCCCTACATGGAAAATGGAATTCATGGCTCAGTGAGTCTTACCAGATTCTTCAGGTGCTGTTTAGCCAGCACTGAAAGCTGGGGAAAGGAGAGACAGGATTTGTATCACCTCTTGCCACTACCCAAGGCTTCTGTCGATAAGTGATGCCGTTCCTGAGACATGGCTGTTCCTTGTTCCAGATAAGCCACTGTGATGCCAAGCACATCCGGGGACTGGTCGCCTCCAAGCCCACCTTAGGCACGATGAGTGTGCGCTTCTCAGCAACCTCGATGAAGGCGAGTGCCCCCTATTTCTTGCCTGGAGATATCTGTAGGGCAGGATTCTGTGCTGTGCGGGCCCCCCCCCCCCCCTTCCCCGAGGGTGGGAGTGCACCACCACTATCAGAAACCAGAAGCTGAACCTTCCCTAGGCCTGGGTAGCCATCCACTCATGGGAGACATCCCAGCACTTAGCAACGCCTGGTATGCTTTAGTCCACATCTTCGTCAGAAGTCATGCTGTTAGGACATTTTAAGGAACTGGGTCCCCACCCCCTGCCCTCAAAAAAAAGTCACTGGTGTTTGATGAGCAAATTGGCAAATTGTTAAGCAGTGGCAATTGGCAGGACGTTTATAGCTAGATTGATATAAATGTTTCTCTAAGCTTGAAAAGCCCTGACTTGGCCCTTGTTTGTGTCTTGTTCTTAGTGGACTTAAAGGAGACAGGTGAGGCTGTGGATGTGTTAGGCTCTGATGTTTGTATATGAGCCGCAGCAATACTCACATTGAGAATGTAAGAGGTTTATTTTTGCCTTCTTGTGGATTGCATTTTAGTAATGTTAAAATTCTCCAGAAAAGCATAGTGGCAACTTTTGTGATTTAGACTGTCAGATCAAGACTTAGGTTTGGTGAAATGTGAGGCTTACTGACTAAAAGATGTGTCAGTCAAGGGCAAGAGTGTCAGGCAACTTTGTCTCACTTCCTGCCGCCTGGCTCCCGAGCTCAAAGTGATCCATCGAGAGAGGAGAGATCTTGTGGGCCTGAAACGTCAAAATGGGAAGGCCTACCTCCCTCCCTTTCAATGGTGCCCCTGTGCACTGCGCTGCTACCTCAGAATTGCTGGACTTGAACCCTGTAAAGTAATGGTTAAAAGGGCTTGCTGTCCACAGTGCCAGCTTGGAAAGTACAGTTGCCTGGAAACACTACGAATTCTGACCTGTAGCCTCTGAGATTTAAGCCAGAAAAGGCATCATATATACATATATATGTATGGCAAAAGCTTAAAAAGCATTTGCTCCTGAAGCAGGACCGGAACATATCCCAAATAACTATGTTGCTAAGCTTTTCAGTTATTTCACAATCACTTAAAGGCACATGAACCAAAGCCCAAATTTAATGCAAGTTCACTTCCACCTGCTAAATATGCCCAAGCTCTTCCTGAAATTTTGCAATGATTGCATTCCCAGTGAGTGTTGCGTGAGGCCCCAAGTGTGCTCAACAGATGTTCTTGCACAGGAAGTCCTCGTTCCCGAAGCCTCGGAGTTTGATGAGTGGGAGCCAGAAGGCGCAGCCCTGGAAGGCCCTGTGACTGCCATCATCCCCACGTGGCAAGCACTGACCACTCTAGACCTGAGCCACAACAGCATCTCCAAGATTGATGAGTCTGTGGTATGCTCTCAGCAGTGGGCTCTAGGGTTTTCTACCCGAGGTTGGGCATTTAAGTGGCTTTTTTTGGAAAGAGCACAGAGAGCATGGGCTCTGTGCATTGCCTGCAATTTTTAAAATTTGAAAACGGGATTATTTAAAGCAAGTGAGATAATACTTAGAACCAAATGAGGCATACCAATTATATGCATTTTTAAAAATGTATATTTTATTGATTTTTTTTTTTTTTTACAGAGAGGAAGAGAGAGGGATAGAGAGTTAGAAACATCAATGAGAGAGAATCATCGATCAGCTGCCTCTTGCACACCCTCTACTGGGGATGTGCCCACAACCAAGGTACATGCCCTTGACCGGAATCGAACCTGGGACCTTTCAGTGCGCAGGCCGATGCTCTATCCACTGAGCCAAACTGGTTTTGGCTATATGCACATTTGACATAAAAACATAGTGGTGAAATTTACTCCTAAGGAGGGGAGTGGAAAAACCACTCCACAGATTTCAGATGTGCTTCTGTAAGAGAGACACCCAGACAGCATTTGGGAAATAGGAGTGTGATTCAGGTATTTGTGCTTCTTAGTGGTTGGGATTGGAGAAAAAGATGGACAGACTTCTTTTCTGGGACCTAGCCATTTGTCATTTTCATCAGCCACGTGCTCTGTAAAAATGGGGTGTGTGCTCATCATTGGAGTCCCTGTGTGCTCCTGTGCACATGCCGCCGGCTGGGCACTGGGATGTGTTACATCATTGGCCCTGCAGAGATGGCCAGCCCAGGAGTTCACCATCAAAAGGAAGAGTCCTTTGTCCTAGGCAGTTTGGCTCAGTGGTTGTAGTGTCAGTCTGGATTGCAGGGTCCCGGGTTCTATTTCATTCAAGGGCATGTACATTGGTTGCATGCTTGATCCCTCCGGGGTGCATGCAGGAGGCAACCAATCAATCTGTCTCTCTCACATTGATGTTCCTCTCTGTCTTTTCCCCTTCCTTCCACTCTGTTTAAAAATCAGTGGAAAAAATATCCTTGGTGAGGGATATGGGACGGGGGGAGGAGGGGTGATAGAGGTGGAAGAAGAGTCTCAGGGTGGCCTTGGCAAGTATCGTCCCAGGCACCAAAAGGTTGATTCCCAGTCAGGGAACAAGCCCAGGTTCCAGGTTTGGTCCCTGGCTGAGACATTCAGGAGGCAACCAATTGATGTTTCTCCTTCACATCGATGTTTCTTCCTCTCCCTCTCCCTCTCTTCCTTCCTCTCCCTAGGAAAAATAAATAAAAACATTTTTTAAAAAGTCCCATGATGTCTGTTCACCACATGCAGGGGTAACATAGGGTCCAGCCTCCTAGAGTAATGTCAGGTGTTGTCTTTTTTCTCCCACAAGAAACTGATTCCAAAGCTTGAATTCCTGGACCTGAGTCACAATGGAGTGCTAGTTGTGGACAACCTGCAGGTAAGAATGTCTGTGAAGACTGTTGCCACCTATGGGCTTCTTACAAGGTCCCTGAGAGTTCAGAAGTCGGACTCAGCCTTGGGAATTTGGCCATTCCCTGGGTTTTCCCTCACAGGCACTGGAAAGGTGTCTGGGTACCCCAGAGGTTTGTAGGAGCAGGAGCAGGGTCCCAGCGATGCATGGAGCGATTGTCACTGTAGTTCCCCAGAATTAGAAAAGTACAAATCAAGCGAGGTGAAGATGATGCACCTCCATCATGAAGGTATAAGCTCATTCACAAAGCTCACACCTACCCTGTGGGTTGTGCTGTCTCTGCAGAAAGGGCCACTGGACTGTGGCATGTGCAGGGGGAAAGAGGGAGCTCCCTTCCAAATACCGGCCAGAGGGACCGGAGCTGACCTGCAGAGCTGGCCATTTCGGGTTGAAAGTGCATCACACCATTAGTGTCGGTTCCCTTTCCTTGGAGCCTTGACCTAGACCACTTTACCCTGTTCTCAATGTCGCCCCAGCACCTGTACAACCTCGTGCACCTGGACCTGTCCTACAACAAGCTGTCCTCCTTGGAAGGGGTTCACACCAAACTGGGGAACATCAAGACTCTGAACCTCGCTGGCAACCTGCTCGAGAGTCTGAGTGGCCTGCACAAGCTCTACTCCTTGGTCAACCTGGACCTCAGCAACAACAGAATCGAACAGGTGAGCCGTGTTCCCTGTTCGGATGTCAGGGTGGTGGGATGGCTGTTCATCACGTTAAAGAAGAATGCTAAGCCTTCTTTCATCTAAAAGGCTGTCAGATGTGTTGTCATGTTGCCAAAGTGTTACGAGAAGGGACCAGGGGGATGGAATTCGTGCCTTGCAGATGGAGGAGGTCCGGAGCATAGGCAGCCTCCCGTGTCTGGAGCACGTGGCTCTGCTGAACAACCCCCTGAGCATCATCCCCGATTACCGGACCAAGGTGCTGGCTCAGTTTGGAGAGAGGGCCTCTGAGGTAGGCTGCCCGGGTACGGGGTAGGGTGGGGTTAGCTTGATCAAAGAGACAGTCTAGACAGAGTCCACATGTTCACAGCCAGAACCACTGCTGATGTCCACTGTTTTATTGCCCTGGCCTGCTTCAGAAGGACTTCCTCGCCCTAAGTGGCCTTTCAGTTCTGGGAAGTCTGCTGCCGCCCCAAGAAAAGCTCCCTCACCCTTCCTGCAGCCCATCCTGTCAGCAGCCAGCGGCCACACGGTTCCCCAGAGGAGTTTCTCACATGGCCTCCCCATGAGCCCACAGGCACAGCCTGAGTGTGGAGGAACTGTCTCCAGCTTGTTAAAAGTAACATTGATTATTATAGGCAGGGGTTAGAAATAAGATATTTAATATTTTTTATTGATTTGGTTGATTTTTTATTTTTTTTTGAGAGAGAGAAACATCAATTTGTTCACTTATTTATGCACTCTTTGATTGCTTCTCATATATTTCCTGACCTGGGATCAAACCTGCAACCTTGGCATATTGGGACAATGCTCTAACCAACTGAGTTACCTGGTCAAGCCCAGAAATAAGATATTTTTTAAAATCCTGTGTTCTGGAGGACTTCTGGCCATGAAGTCTGACTACAGACCCCCAGAGTGCGCCCACCTTTGCCAGTGATCCCAGCAGTGTCTGCTGCCTGTTGAGTGTGTCCGGCCAACAGCCACCCTGCCCACGGAACAGGCCTTTAGCCAGGTTAACCTGTCTCTTTAGCCTCAAGTAGGCCCCTCCCATGTTTCCCCAAATTCCAGGCCACAAGATACTGGAAGTCTGCATTCTTCTCTCATCCGCCCCCACCCCCAATCTCTTTTCAGGCCCAAATGCTGCTCACACTGTCACTAAGACAGTGTTCACCAGGTGACATCTCCCCTCCTGCCCGCTCCGCACTGCCTGCCAGCCCACAGCCCCTCCTGCATTTGCAGACAGGGTGCCTGCTTTCCATGCCAAGGGCCTTCTCTAGGCTCTTTGCTGATCTGAGTTTTACCATAATTCGGGACTTAGTTCAAGTCACCACCTTCCCCCAACCCCAGCCATCCAAGAGGCCTCTTCAGTGGGCCCTGTATCCCTCACCTTTTTGGAAAGGGGCCTCCCAGTAACAGACTAGGCCCTCTGGGACCGCCCTGGGCGGCTCTAAGGAACTTGCAGGTTACTTCCATGGGTGGTGAGGAACTCGCCTCCAGTGGGCTGAGCCTCACAGGCCTGGCCCCACATGGCCAGGCTCCTGTCATTCTGCTCTCTGCTTGCCAGCTCCTAGGCTGATCGCCGTTTCTGGATTCTGTAGGTCTGTCTGGACAACTCAGTGACCACAGAGAAGGAGCTGGACACTGTGGAAGTGCTGAAAGCAATACAGAAAGCCAAGGAGGTCAAGTCCAAACTGGGCCAGCCTGAGAAGAAGGTGGGTCTGTATGGAGGACTGGTGGTGAGGAGCAGCCAAGGAAGGAGCTGGCTCCAGTGGAACTGGTCTCGGAGTACACAGAGCCACTGAGTCCTGACCATGACCTTGGGCAAGCCACACCGTCCATTTTCATCTGCACAGTGGGGTGGTGAGAGGGCCTGCTGTACAGGGTTGTGAGGACTAGGTGAGAGTGACTTTGCCATCCCTGATGTTCTTGAGAACTTCTGAGTTTCTCCTCATCTGGCTTTTCGAGTTCTGTTCTTCCCGATCCTTCTCTTCTTTCCCGGGCTGACTCGAGCACTCTCCTAGGTTGGCGAGGATTGCCAGCTCTCCACTGCCCCCTGCATCAGACCCAACAGCTCTTCTCCTGCCGTGGCTCCCACCTCCGCCTCCCTGCCCCAGCCCATCCTCTCCAACCAAGGTAATATTGTATGTACTTTCTGCCTAGCAGAGCCACGTGGGCCCTGGCCGGGCTGGGGTCGGGGGAGGTGCTGGCACCTGCTCCTGGCAGGGTTCAGACACAGGGTGGGTGTGGTGCTGTCTGCCAGCCAGCTCCTCTCCGGGTGGCACACGGTGGGAGTGCCTGGCCTGGTTTCAGCTCTGTGGTATGCTTAGTGAGGACCACCTCCACATTGTTCTGACACCCACATCAGCTCCTCTGGGATGCCATAGGGTGTCACTCCGGCCCCGAGGCTGCTCTTGGAACAGGCTCAGGGCTGCTGGCTCTCCCCAGGCTGTGTGGGTGGATTGGCTCCTTAATAATGGAAAGCCAAGCCTTGTTACTGTCCTGAATCGGCTGCCTTGATCCCTGCATGGGGAACTTGCTTTTATCATCGCCTCATCTCAGTGGCTCAGGCCCAAACACTATTAGTGGGGCCCAGACAGGCTGGCCAGGACCCATGGAAGACCAAGCCTTTCACCTGCCCACTACCTTAGCGTTTTCAAAGGGCTTTCACCTCTGAACCCAGGCATCCTCGGAGATGAGTGAGTGAAGCAGGTCCCATGAGAGAGTCTGCTGGCCCGGCCCCCGCGGAAGAGGGGAGGGCGTGCCGTCCCGAGTGGAACCGAGGCTCGGGACACAGGAAGGAGCGCCGCCCGCCCGCCCGCCCGGGCCCCCGGAGATGCAGAACTTGGTGTGAGGTCTTGGGAAAACAGTTTGACCCTATGTTTCAAGAGCCAGAAAAACGTTCCCACTCCTTGACCTGGTAACCCCAAGTGGTGGGGAGTTTATCTTGGTGGGATAAGATAATGGGAAGGGGAGATGATGACCTGCTCACTGCAGCGCTATTTATGCTAGCAAAGCAGGGGGTGTGACAGACATCAGAGGATGTGAGGGAGATTAGGCAGTGGTGCAAAATACTCTGCAGCCATTGCGTCAGAGAGGAGGGCTGGGTAGGAAGGAGGGAGAATGCTGAGGGTGAGTCGGCCTGCTGCAGGGCGGTGCACTGAGGTCACAGCATTCCTGAGAACGGATGCTCAGGTCACGTGCCAGAGCGATTGCCAGGTTGCTTTTGTAACACGACTGAGAAAGTTTTATTTTTTTACATAAAAGGGGCAGGAGGTTTGTATCCCACTGAAGACTTCCCTGACCCCGTCTCCTGCTCAGGGCCAAAACCCTCTTTGGGCCTCAGCACTGTGGAGGGCAGGGAGGCAAGTGGTCCTAGGCCAGGGACTGGCTGGTTCTCGGCCAGCTTTTGTGGAAGTGATGAGCGAGTGTGTGAGTGAGCGAGCAAGCGAACAAGCTGGTAGAGCAGACGGCAGGCCAGGTGAGTGAGGCATCGCCCCCAGGGCCATAGCTGCAGGCAGCCCCCTATCTGATGGTGCAGCCTCTGCATCAGCCAGGCCCAGGCCTCAGCCCCCTTTTTCACTGCCCCCCAGTCCTGGGGACACACCGCCGAGTGGCTCACCAGTCTGTTCCCCTTCCCCAGCTGCTGGACATTTAGACCCTGTCTCCAGACTTGCACCTCTTATAAATAAAACTGCAGTGGATGTCTTTGTGTGCACATCTCTTTCCTTTCTGTGAGAAGCAAAGTCGGGCCCCCATCCAATTGCTCTCCTGATGTCCTCATCCCGTCCTCTGAGTGGCCCTTTCTGACCACTTGTTTGTACTGACTGGTCCAGGAAGGAAGCAGGGAGATGATCCCAGTTCTCACTTCCTTGGCTCCAAACAGGGCTGGGGTGGGGGGTGGGGCGTGGGGGTGGCAAGAAAATGTTGCTTTCTTTTCTCACTAATATGGAGGAATCCACAGATATTTTGTGTCCAGCCATGAGCTGCTTGGTCTTGCTGGTTGGGCATGGATTTCTCCATGTGGGAACAGCTTTGCTCCCAGCCTGATCCCTAGAAGTGTGTACATGTGTGAATAAACTGGGCGCTCAGGCCTGTGTGAATAGGAACTGGCCAGTGAACATCAGGCCTCTGGTCATGTCAAGAGCTGTTAGCCAGCTGGTTGGAGCCACAGAGGATTGTACCGATAGGCGCTAATGTGCGGAATGCCGGGTGGGCTCACCAGGCAGGCCAGAGCTGGAAGGCTGGAGAGAAGGGGTGAGGAGCAGGCTCCTGGGGTCAGACAGCTGAGTTTGTGTCCCAGCTTCCTTGGCTGTGTTCCCTCAAGCAACTTGTAGCCTCTCTGAAGTTCTGTTTTCTCAACTACAAAGTGTGAACACCTGCCTCATCACTTCTAAGATGCACACGACTTCTGAAATTGAGATGCGTCTTTCAGTCAGTGTTGTCTCATAGTTGCTGGTACTCGCGATGGAGTCGTGTGGAAGTCTTCCGTGGACATCTCCTAAGACTAAGAGGCACGCCCATGCATCTTAGATGTGATGAAGTGTAAACAAGATGTGCGTGAGCCAACACGGGAAGCACCGAGCACTGCTCCTGGCTCATCAGAAGCGGTCCTGGAGGCCTCCCTCGCGCGCGTCCTTGTTGGGGAGCTTCAGGGTGCTGTGTGCCCCGGGGAGAAAGGGCAGAGTGCCTGGGGCGTTCTGTAGAGGGAGAGGTATGCCTAGAGCAGGGGGCTTTGCAGTGAGGTTATGTGTAGGGTCCTCAGAAGCTGGGCAGGACCTGAGCATGTGCGGGAGGAGGGGCGTTCTAGGAGAGAACAGGGCACTTACGCTTAGCTGTGTGCTTGCCCTTCCTGCCTGTGCATCCCTGCTGCTTCGCTGGAAGGGGGCGGGGAGGTCTGGGCTTGGGCCCTCTGCCTGCCTCTATCCCATGGGCAGAGGGCCTGGGTTCCGTGAGCTGTCTTGTCCCCGGGCAGCAGCTGAGCTGGACTCGGGTCTGTGACCTCCAGGGCTCTGACCTGTGGTGCCTGGTCGTAAAGCCAGGCCAAGCCTTGGGCTCCTCCAGGTTTTTTGTGAAACAAGGTCGATGCTCAGTGTTCACCCAACAAGCTGCGCTCAGGAGAACATTGAAAAAGGCTTTGCCCGAGGCCAGTAGGTGTGAGATATCAGGCTTAGACATAAAACAGCCTCAGCAGGATTTAAAAACACACCGTGTTTCCACAGTGCGTAAGTCAGCGTGTGCTGTCCGTGGAAGGCTGACCCGGGGAGGCCAGAGGGCTGGTCCTGCGGAAGCAAGCCACGGGTACTGGGCGTGGGCAGTCTTCCAGGTCCTGTGCCCTTGTGTGTCTGGGGAGCTCTGCAGAGATGTCAGACCGGGGAGGGCTGTGTCCAGCCATTTCTCTGGAAGGCTCTAGGAGTGAGCATGTTTAAGGCTCTTGATGGACATATTGCCAAACTGCTCTCCTGACAGGCAGGCCAGCTCCCACACCAGTGCCTGCCTCTGCCCAGTTGGGCCAAGTCAGGGCCACGCAATCAGTCTAAACTTTGCTGAAATGAGAGAGAAAACTGCTGTCTTATTCCAGCTTGCCCTTCTGTGCTTATTTGTGAAGGAGGGTGAGCGTTTTGTGTGACATCTATTGGCCATCTTTTGTGAAACGTGTCTGCATTTTTCGTAGCCTGTCTCCTAGTGGGATTCCCAACTTTATCCCTTATTTTTGTCATCTGTAACAGTTTTATATATATATATATGTATATATATATATATATATATATATATATATATATATATCTTATTAACTTTTTACAGAGAGGAAGGGAGAGGGAGAGGATAGAGAGTTAGAAACATCGATAAGAGAGAAACATCAAGGTACATACCCTTGACCGGAATCGAACCTGGGACCCTTCAGTCCACAGGCCAATGATCTATCTCAGACAACACTGAGCCAAACTGGTTAGGGCTATAACAGCTTTTTATAGGAAGATATAAATGTTCGTCAAATATTGCAAGTGCCTTTTTCATTTCTTTGTTCACTTATAGAAGTTTAGTTTTTATGTAGTCACATTTCACATTTTTCCTTTCGATTTAGGCCCAGAAAGTCTCTCTCTACCCTGAAATTGGATAAGCAATCATGTGTTCTTTCTTCAAGTTATTTCAAGATTTCAGTTTTAACATTTTCTTCTGTAATCCATGTGGCTGGGTCTGGGGGTCTGACAATCCCCCGGCCATGCCAGAATCCCGAGGGCCCCGTCCCATTTGTTGAATGGCTGCTCTTCCTGCCCCACTGTCCCACCCGCCTGCCCCTGGTCTCTCCAGGAATCATGTTTGTGCAAGAGGAGGCCCTGGCCAGCAGCCTCTCATCCACCGACAGTCTTACTCCCGAGGACCGGCCCATTGCTCGGGGATGCTCTGATTCCTTGGAGTCCATCCCTGCAGGACAGGTAATGCCTGCCTCCTGCTTCTGCGGATTGGTTACCTCTGTGCCCGCTCTGTCTGAGGCTGTCTGGAAATAGGAGGCGACCTGCCTAGACTTGTGGCAGGTGCTACCTGCGGTTGATGCACTCAGGCTTTGTGTTTCCCTCCCTCCTTTTTTCCCTCCCTCCTTCCTTCTCTCCCTCCCTTTTCCTCTGTTTTCCTCCTCTCCCCGCTTCTCACTCTCTCCCGCTCCCCCCTCCCATGTCCCTCTGTTAGTGGGAACAGACAGTTCTCTCACTGGGCCTGGAGGGCAAAGCCTGATAACCCTTGGTTCACATGAGTGGATTCCCTTGGGGAAAGCATTCTGAAGGTTCTGGAGTGGAGGAGGCCTTGTTTGGGTTCCAAACCCATCAGGAAGAGTCTCTCCCCTGTTGCCTGGCACCCCAGGGCTAGTCTGCCCATCCCTGCATGTCATCCTGATAGTTGGGGACACAGTGACTGTGCACCTTCTCTGGCTGCTGCTAAGGGTTCCAGAGCTCCTCCGTGTGTCCTGGGAAGAGAGGAGGAGGCAAGTGTGAGTGGCTCATTCGCCACGTTGGAGAGAGTGCTTGCTACCTAGACCTCCCCAGTCCCATTTCTATTCAGCAATAGGCAGAGCCGTGTGACCCTGTGGTAGTTTGAGAGGCCTCACCTTATCCCAGCACACCATGGCACTCCCTTCTCCCTCCTTGTTGTCCAGAGACCCCTGGGAGGGCCCTGCCAGGTACTGTGCAGCCTCTGTTCATTGTGTCTTCTGCTGGCCAGTTGCCAAATTGGTGTACTGTCCATGAGGACCCTCTGGGGTAACACAGGGAGCACTCAGGTGCTAGACCCAGCGGCACAAACTGAACTTCAGAGTGGCAAGAGGTTCTGGCCCAGGAGCTAGAGTGTGAGCTGGGGGCAAACTGGCCCGGGTGGGAATCAGTCTTGCTGTGCACTGGCAGGATAACTGGGGATCTCTCTGGCTCCAACCCCCATAATTCACCCCAGAATGGAGCGGGGGATGGTGAGGAACTTCCCGCAGGGAGGGAGGGTGGAGGGCAGGGTGCTGGCTCAGGGTCTAGCACCAGAAAATGCCAGGGAATGGCTGACGCAGGTGGGGGCTGATACATTTCCTTCTCTGTCAGGCACCTCCTGATGACTTAAGGGACATTCCTGGAGCTGTTGGTGGTGCAAGGTAAGGAAGCGGTTGAGAAGGCTGGACACACTCGGCTGAGGGCTAGTGGTAACTAGTTGGATTTTGTTAAATATGTATTCACAGGAGTCCTCCAGAACTACCTCTTCCCATGCTCACTTTGGCAGCACATATACTAAAACAGAACTACCTCTTCCTTTAAATTAAGCACAGATATGAAAAGCTCTGGTCTACTTCTAAATTTGAGTCTAATGACATATGTCATCCTACACGAGGGAGCAGCAGATTGAGGCTGTGAGATAAGAATGATTGTCCCATGCTAAGGAGCTGTTTTTAAAAAGAAAAGATGATGTGGTTGGGGGCCCCAAAAGCCCGAAGTATCCATCCTGTGACCCTTTGCAGAGGAGGTTTCCTGTCCCATGTACACACCCTTTGTGAGGCAGCAGTGGCCGAGAGGGGCTTGAATTTAAATGTGAACTTGTCAGCAAGCGACTCCATGCTCTGGAGCACTCACTGCCTCGGGCTGGCGGCCAGCGCCCGATGACTCAGATCTTTGTGATGCTTCTGGAGGGAGGACCGGCCTGAACATCTGTCATCAGAGTCCTGGGCATGTGGACTCTGGAGAGACTGGTGGCCCCAGTCTCCTGGCACCTTGGCTCCCCTGCAGGCATTTGTCCTAGGAATAGGCTCAGCTGTTTAGCAGGCTTGGCATACCCATGAGTTGGTTCCCTGGGACCAGGGTGTAGCCCCAGACTTGAGAGGTGGGATGTCCCAGCCCAGCGTGTCACTGACCTGGCTTCTCCACAGCTCACAGCACTCGGAGCCGGAGGTCCAGGTGGTGCCTGGGTCTGGCCAAATCATTTTCCTGCCCTTCACCTGCATTGGCTACACAGCCACCAACCAGGACTTCATCCAGCGCCTCAGCACACTCATCCGGCAGGCCATCGAGCGGCAGCTGCCTGCCTGGATCGAGGCCGCCAACCAGCGGGAGGAGGGCCAGGGTGAGGAGGACGACGACGAGGACGTTGCAGAGAACCGCTACTTTGAAATGGGGCCTCCAGACGTGGAGGAAGAGGAGGAAGGAGGCCGGGGAGAGGAAGACGAGGAGGAAGAGGAGGAGGAGGATGGTGAGGAGGAGCGCCTGGCCCTGGAGTGGGCCCTGGGTGCAGACGAGGACTTCTTGCTGGAGCACATCCGCATCCTCAAGGTGCTCTGGTGCTTCCTGATCCACGTGCAGGGCAGCATCCGCCAGTTCGCCGCCTGCCTCGTGCTCACCGACTTCGGCATCGCCGTCTTCGAGATCCCGCACCAGGAGTCGCGGGGCAGCAGCCAGCACATCCTCTCCTCCCTGCGCTTCGTCTTCTGCTTCCCGCACGGCGACCTCACCGAGTTCGGCTTCCTCATGCCAGAGCTGTGTCTGGTGCTCAAGGTGCGGCACAGCGAGAACACGCTCTTCATCATCTCGGACGCCGCCAACCTGCGCGAGTTCCACGCCGACCTGCGCGCGTGCTTCGCCCCGCAGCACATGGCCATGCTGTGCAGCCCCGTGCTCTACGGCAGCCACACCAGCCTGCAGGAGTTCCTCCGCCAGCTGCTCGCCTTCTACAAGGTGGCGGGCGGCTGCCAGGAGCGCAGCCAGGGCTGCTTCCCCGTCTACCTGGTGTACAGCGACAAGCGCATGGTGCGGACGGCCGCCGGGGACTACTCGGGCAACATCGAGTGGGCCAGCTGCACGCTCTGCTCCGCCGTGCGGCGCTCCTGCTGCGCGCCCTCCGAGGCCGTCAAGTCCGCCGCCATCCCCTACTGGCTGCTGCTCACGCCCCAGCACCTCAACGTCATCAAGGCTGACTTCAACCCCATGCCCAACCGTGGGACCCACGACTGTCGCAACCGCAACAGCTTCAAGCTCAGCCGCGTGCCGCTCTCCACCGTGCTGCTGGACCCGACGCGCAGCTGCACCCAGCCCCGGGGCGCCTTTGCCGACGGCCACGTGCTGGAGCTGCTTGTGGGCTACCGCTTCGTCACCGCCATCTTCGTGCTGCCCCACGAGAAGTTCCACTTCCTGCGCGTCTACAACCAGCTGCGGGCCTCGCTGCAGGACCTGAAGACCGTGGTCATCGCCAAGACCCCTGCGCCGGGGGGGGGCCAGGCCCAGCGGCCCCTTGTGGACGGCCGGCCTGCTGCGAACAGGGTCAGGTGAGGCCGAGCACAGGCTTCGGGGGCCAGGGGCACGGGACTGGACGTGCGCGGGGAGTTCCCCTCACTGCGTCTGAGACCACTCACTTCAAACCCCATCTCTGAGCACCTGCAGAGTGCACGTGGGTCTAGGTGGGCCCAGCCCCCCAGCCGCTCCTCAGCTCCTGACCGCCCTCGGCAGCGTCCCTCACTCCCTTGGGCTTGGCACAGGGCTGCTCCTCTCTCCCAGGCTTCAGAAGAGGCCTGCGAAAGCTGTCCTTTCACCAGGACCGTCTGGCCCAGTCCCCTGCCGCTGCGGGCCCTGCATGGCTGGGTCCGGGTGCCTGCGCTCCTGCCAGCAGCGCAGGCCCGGCCGAGGAGATCGCCCTACCTTGCTTGGCCTTCTCTGCTCCGCTCCACTGGGCCCCAGGCCAGCCCCTAAGAATCGCCCACCATCTCCTCCCCTCAGGGGCTCACAGTCCCATGCCAAGCCTTACCCTGTTGAGAGCCACCCAGCCCTCCTCAGGAAGGTCTGGGTTGCTGATGGGACTCTCTTTCTGTGTGTAATTTGGGAAGTCCCCTTCAAAGGAGCTGAGTGTGTGAGCTGGCTAGTCATGCAAAGCTCCTTTTTTTCTGGAGGAGACTGAGGCACAGAAAGGAGTGGCAGATGGGAGCCCTGTCCTGCTCATTCTCACTCTCTTCTCTGCCCTGCCCCCTCCTCCAGCTTGGCTTTCCCCGGGCCCCCTCCTTGGGTTTCCCTGAGGGCTGCCTGAGGCTGGGGTAGGGGCGTCTTTGGGAGGGCGCAGGGCATGGTCCCACCCTCAGCTCACCTCCACCTGGGGCTCCAGGGGCCTGTGCCCTTAGGGGGTCCCCATCTTCTTTCACTGTCCCCTGGCCGTACATATGCTGGGGCAAGAAAGCCCTTCATTTGTCACCTTCTTGTTCCCTGAGACATAGTCAAATTCGCTTTCTCGTCTATCCTGGTAGTCAGTGGAGACCATATTCTCATCCCAGCATCTCACGGGTCCTGCCTTCTCCCTCCAACCTTCCCGCCGAACTGATGCTTCCAACCTCCTTTTTGCTAACTTGGGTGCCTCTCCTGTGCCCAGCTCAAATCCCATGCCCTCTGTAGAGACCTCTGATGCCTAGAGAACCGCTTAGGCCCGAGGTGGCCCTGCCAGCTGGGCCCCCCCATCTCTCTGCCCCTATGCTAAGGCTTTGGTGACGTCTCCCTGCTGCCCGAGAGCCTGGCTGGAACCTTCCCACAGTGGGCCTCCGTGCAGAAACAGGCCCTGCTGCATTCCTGCAGCCGCATCTCTATCCGCACGCACCCGCAGGAGCACAGCCAGCGGGGCTTCTTAGGGGCGTGTGGCCCAGAGCAGGGCCTGAGGGCAGGGACTGGCCAGCTGAGAAGACAATTCCCAAGGACTTCCCTCAGCACAGGCGCTGGCATGTGGGCCTGTAGTCTGGTTCAGGGGGCGCCCCAGCCTCCAGGGCTTTAAGGGTTCCGTGTCCAGGTTGGGGTGGAGGAAAGCCCGAGCCACCTTAGAGGACCCAAAGGCAGACTGAGGGGTAATTTGAGTGTTTGGTTCTCAGACTTGATTGTACCCAGATCCCAGCCCTGGGTCATACTCTGGACTGTGCAGTGACATTTCTGACTCCTCCACCACCTGCTCAATATAAGTGTTTGGTTTTATGGGCCACCAGTATCTGGCCGTGCTAGCCCTGGGGTGCCCCCATCTGCCCATCTGTCTCCCGAGAGAAGGGGCCTGGGCACCTTTTCTCTGCTCTTTTGTCTTCCCAGGGCCCCAGAGAGGGAGTGTGTGTGGTGCATGCATTCCCCTCACACTTCTGAGGTTGAGCATGTGATATGAACCTCCTTTGGGCTCTACATCTTAATATAGTCTTTCTTGGGGATTGGGAGGTGCAGTGGTGACCAGAGTCCCCAGGAGGCCCCGGCAGAGGCGCCAGCACCAGCCCCAGAGGAGGCCCCAGCTCCAGCCCCGATGGAGACCTCCGTGCCGGCTTTGGTTCCAGCAGAAGCCCCAGCAGAGGCCTCAGCCTCGGTGGAGGCCCCGGCACCAGCTGAGGCCCCCGCCCAGTACCCAAGCGAGCACCTGATCCAGTCCACCTCAGAGGAGAATCAGATCCCCTCGCACCTGCCCGCCTGCGCGTCGCTCCGGCACATTGCCAGCCTGCGGGGGAGTGCCATCGTCGAGTTCTTCCACAGCAGCATTGCAGAGGTAGCGGCCTGGGTCTGGTCTTGCTGGCTGGCGCTGGTGTGGAGAGGTAGCATAGTAGGTCCTGGAGACTGGGCAGTTTGTGTTGGGGTCAGGCTCAGCTTCTCTGACTTCTCTGTGCTGGCTTTTCCCCAGCTTCAGCTCTTCACAGCGGGAGGCCTAGGTTGGGAGGTCCCGGGCTGCCTTTTCCTGGTCAGTTGTCCTATCCTCATGGCCCCCGGCACACCGCACTGCACATCCATCTCCCCTTCCTCACCTCTCTGCTTCCAAGTTTATTAATCTGTTGACAAGATGTGAAGGCCTGCCCGAGTCTCCTCAGCCAAGGCTGTGGGCACGCCAGCAGGTGGTGGGTCTGAGGGGGCCTGCCCGGAGGTCTGTTTCAGGCGCCGTCTGGAAAACAGCTGCATGCTCCGCCCAGCCCTGCTCTCCTGCAGCCCTAACCCGCCCCTTTGTGTCCAGGTGGAGAACGAGGAGCTGAGGCACCTCATGTGGTCCTCGGTGGTGTTCTACCAGAGCCCGGGGCTGGAGGTGACGGCCTGCATGCTGCTCTCCACCAAGGCCGTGTACTTCGTGCTGCATGACGGCCTCCGCCGCCACTTCTCCGAGCCACTGCAGGGTAGGCACCGGGCCGCCGCCGCCGGGAGCCGGCTTGTGCCCGAGAGATGGGCCTGCTGTACGGCCTCAGCCAGCAGTGCCTCGGCTGCACTGGACTGAGAATCTCTAGGGGGTGAGGGTGAAACAGCCCCCTCCCCCCCACTCTGTCATGAGGGACCTAGAGTCAGACATGAAGGCGCCAAGCCAGGACCTAGGGAACCCTGGGCGCCAGCCATGATAAGTGCTGGAGCAGCTCTGCCCCTCAGAACCCCAGTGGGGGCTCCTGGTGACTCCACTGAGTCGGGCACGGCTCCGATCGCCCATGAGGCCTCGTGTGTGGAGGGGGGATGGTGCTCATCAGCTGCCTAGGCCAGCCAAGGGGACCCATTTCTACTGGGCTCAGCTGTGCACGGCCCCTCATGCTCGCCTGGCACCCCCCCCCCCCTTTCTCCATAGATTTCTGGCATCAGAAAAACACTGACTACAACAACAGTCCCTTCCACATCTCCCAGTGCTTTGTTTTAAAACTCAGTGACCTACAGGCAGTCAACGTTGGGCTTTTTGACCAGTATTTCCGGCTGACGGGTAAGTGACCACTGCTTTGTCCTATTTTAGCGAAGGCCAGTGTTCCCACCTTCCATGTGTGGGTGTGCTATCGCAGGCAGAGTCCTCCGCTCACAAGCCCCTTCACGGGAGCGGGAGGAAGCGGCTTCAGGAACTGCTGAGAGAGCAGAACTCACCGGCAGGGCGCAGGGCTGGAGGGACAGAGCAGCAAGTGCGGGGCAGTGCCGGAGGCAGGCGGAGTGGGCCCTGTGCTCAAGCAGGATGTTTCTGACTCACACTTCCTGAGGAGAGAAAACTAAGCTCTTTCCCCAATGCCTCTGTATCCCCTTCCAGAAATCTGTCACAGCCCTTCCGGCCTGAGAAGTGGCCTTCTGTTCAGGCCCCATGATGCGTTCCCACGTGGGCCTTCCTGGCCCTGGCTGTGTGGTCTCCAGGTCCAGGCTGACCTGCTGGCCTGGCGATCGCTCTAGCAGCGAGAACAGGGCTGGGAGCGGCTGCCGTAACTGACCAGCCCTGCTCCCACAGGCTCCTCCCCGGCGCAGGTGGTGACATGCTTGACTCGGGACAGCTACCTGACACACTGCTTCCTCCAGCACCTCATGGCCGTGCTCTCCTCGCTGGAACGCACGCCCTCGCCTGAGCCTGTGGACAAGGACTTCTACTCGGAGTTCGGGAACAAGACCACAGGTACCCGCCCAGCTCAGGCTGTGACAGGCCACCTGGCCTCGCCAGCCCCAAGGGCGCAGCTTGCCCGGAGCACTCTCTTCCTCTCTCTCTCTCACGTCCCACTCAGCCAGCTACGGTTTCCCATGGCAGAGTCTCCATCCCAGCAAACCCCTACCCGTCTGGTAGACACACCTGCTCTGGGCTGCTGGCCTGTGGCTCTCCGCTGGGCACTGGGGCTTGGAGTGCCCCTGCCTGCCTCTGGGAGGCCTGTGGCCACTGACACTCCCATGGCACCACAGTTCCAGCTCCAGCCCGGTGGGCATCTCTCTCTGCAGGGAAGATGGAGAACTACGAGCTAGTCCACGCGAGCCGGGTCAAGTTCACCTACCCCAGTGAGGAGGAGGTCGGGGACCTGACGTTCACCGTGGCCCAGACGATGGCGGACCCAGGGAAGGCGCCGGCCCTCAGCATCCTGCTGTATGTGCAGGCCTTCCAGGTGGGCACCCCGCCACCTGGGCGCTGCCGGGGCACACTGCGCCCCAAGACGCTCCTGCTCACCAGCGCCGAGATCTTCCTCCTGGACGAGGACTTTGTCCACTACCCGCTGCCCGAGTTTGCCAAAGAGCCGCCACAGAGGGACCGGTACCGGCTGGACGATGGCCGCCGTGTCCGGGACCTGGACCGCGTGCTCATGGGCTACCAGACCTACCCTCAGGCTCTCACCCTGGTCTTCGACGACGTGCAAGGCCACGAGCTCATGGGCAGCGTCACCCTGGACCACTTCGGGGAGGCGCCAGAGGGCCTAGCCAGAGCCGGCCAGGGCCGCGAGGTCCAGTGGCAGGTGTTTGTGCCCAGCGCCGAGAGCCGAGAGAAGCTCATCTCGCTCCTGGCCCGCCAGTGGGAGGCCCTGTGCGGCCGGGAGCTGCCTGTTGAGCTCACTGGCTAGCCCAGGGCCCTTGGTGTCCAGCTCAGGCGTCCATTCAGTGTAGGGAAGCAGGTTTTGTTTTGTTTTGTTTTTAATGATTTCTCCTCCTTTTGGTCCCTTCATTTGACTGTTCTCCCGTGGAATGTGAACATACGTGTTCAGTTGATTCTTTCTCATCCCGGGAGTGACAGTGCCGGCCCTCCGGGGCCTCCTGTGCCATCGGCCTCCCATGGATGTGCTGCCTGCCCTGGTGGTGTGTGGCCAGGCACAGCAGTGTCATAGCTTCTGTTGTGGGACTTGTTAACACTGGTGTCGTGAGTCCTCTTTACTCCCTACACGTCTTTTTGTGAAATGTCAAGTCCAGTCTTGTTGATGATGTTGTCGTCGTTTGCTGCTAATCATTGAGCTAGCAGCGCAGTGCACATTGGCAGTTCCCACCCTCTGCAGTTTCCTAAGTGAAGGCACCTTTCTCCTGGTCCAGACAAGCAGGAGGCCCGTGGGGGTGGAGTCCCCAGGCCTTGGGGCTGAGGGATGGGAGCAGGGACCTGGAGCTGCCAGCATCGAGTGTGGCTCCTGCTGCCTGTTTTCTCTATTCCAATAAAGTGAGTGTGACACTGTCTGGGTCTTTATTTCAGAGTCCACTGGGTTCCAGCGGGGCATTGGCCCAGGACATGCCTGAGGGAGAGAGGGTCCCCTAGAGATGCAGGACGGTGAGGTATTAGGGTAAAGGAAGGAGGGAGAAGAGGCAGGGGGATGATGGGCAAAGGGAGTGGCCCTCCCTGGCCAGAGGCTGGGGTGGGGGGTGGGGTAGGGCCGGTGGACAGGCCCATGCTGAGCTGTGGCTAAACCAAGAGCCTCAGGTTAACGAGAGCGGAACCCCAGGGCACGGCCGGCACACAGGCTCCCTGCCCTCTGCCTTCTCCAGGTCTGGAATGTCTCACTGGCCCACCCCCACCAAAGGCTGCAGCCTGTTGTCAGGGTAAGGCCTGGAGTCGGGACTTTTCTGTGGGGAGCTGGTCCAGGTGGCACCATGGAGAGGAGGCCCGGCCCATCTGTGTCTGCTCATGTCCTGACAGTGCGATGGCCTCAGGGAGCTGCTGAGGTAACACTGGGACTTCTTTGGGACTCAGCCCCTGCGCCCCACTTTAACTCATTTCTGCCCCCTCCAGAGCAGGCCCGTAAGCCCACTTGCCTCCCCCTCTCATCCTGGTCCAATCAGGAGCCTCAGTCCCCAAGGTGCAGGGCCATTTGGGGAGGATCAGGGAGGAGATAAGTGAGGAGCGGCCCACCTGGCTCGCAGGCCTGCTTCTGCTGTTTTCCTTGGTGCCAGCTGGGGATCCTGGCCTAGAGGACCATCACCCTTAGGAGGATGGGTGTTGGGGGAGCCACTAAAGGGTCTCCCCACTGAACCTCTTCAGCCAGATCACACACCAGCCCAGTGGCCCCACCAGGAGGTGGGGGGAGTACGAGCCTCTGAGGATGAGTAGGAGGGGGAGTGCATAAGGCTTCCCCCAGTCAGGCCGTTATCACAGGCATTTGCAGATGGCCACCTGCCTCTTTTATCTCGGTCCTCTGTACACAGGACAGGGACCCCAGAGGCAGGGGGCACCATTCCCAGGTGTAGCACATGGAGGTCTCGCCACCTGAACTACTGTCCCAGGTTCCACAGCCCAACATGTTAACAGCTGACCAGCCTGGCCCAGTGAGGACTTGACCTACTGAGAGAGGCTGTGCAGTGTTGGGAGGCAGCAGTCATGGGATTTGATCTTCCTTAGACAAGTTACCTAGCCCCCTGGGCCTCAGTTTCCCCACCAGTAACAGGGATAATAAAAAGTGGCCACCGTCATTCATTTATTCCACAAATCTGTACTGAGCTTCTGTGTAACCAACCAGACCCTGTCCCTGTTCTATAACATTCCAGCAGGGGACAAAAACAAAATAAACCAGGGTCAGCTTGTGGCCAGCGCAACAAGGAGATGAAGGCTGGTGACCTTTTACCTAAGACTGGACTTTGAGGTCATTCCCTGAGGGAAGATCTGGAGTGATAGGAGCAAGGCAGCTGCTTGACGTGGCTGGGACAGGGTAAGGGAGAGCTGCAGAGGTCAGGAGGCCAGCCTGGTGTGGACAGGTCTGCAGAGCAGGGCTCCTGAGCGGAGAACGGATGGATCAGGAGGCAGAGCAATGCAGAGGCTCCGGGAGAGAAGGGAGGTGTAGGTATAAGGTTGGGCTGGACTAGTTGGAGGGGTAGCTGGGGTGGGTGAGAGGAGGAGTGGTCCACTGTCGCCTTGGCACAGAGCCTGGCAGGGTGCCTGAGGCCTGCTCTTGCCCTCAGCAGTTGGAAAGGTTGATACACATAAACCTGATTGCGGGACTGAATCCTCCAGGCCCTCTGCAGACGCTTGGGGTGGAGAGCGGTGGGCATTTGCATTTGGATTTGTTTTGCAGCCTCTGATAGACCCCAGGTTCATGGCTAATGGTGGACTTGGAGACTGTGGTGCCAGGAGAAGGTCCTGGGGCCAGGAAGCCCCAGCAAGGCCTAGGCCAACCATGCAGGGGTCAGTAGCCAGCACCTTCCCTTCCGCCTGCAGGCTGCTGATAGGCAGGAGGAAATCCTGGCGGGTTCCTGTGGGGGTGAGCTGGCGGGGCCTCGAGGCTGCTTTTAAAGCGAGTGCCCGCCCCCATCCCACTTGCCCGCCCTGTGCCTGCCTCCCGGAGCTCATTCCCCTCCCAGGCTGCCCCAGCTCTGTCCCGGACAGTGTGCCTGCCAGCCACCGCTGCCCATGGCAGGGCCCCGGGGCCTCCTCCTGCTCTGCCTCCTGGCCGTCCGCCTAGCGGGCTCCCGCATCGTCGGGGGGCAGAAGGTGAGTGTGAGCCAGCGGCAGGGGCTTATGCAGGTGCTCAGGCCCGGCTGGCCAGTGGTGGGAGCAGGGAGGGAGTGGACATAGGTCGGGCCCAGGTCTGGGGACACATGAGCAGCTGGTACATGCCTGACCTTCCCTGAGCATCTCCTTAGGCTGAGCTCTGTGTGTGGTTGCTTGGGGTGGCAGCCTGCTCTGCCCTAACGGTGCCCAGCCAGCCTGCCGTGCGGTGTGGTATGGTATGGTGTGGGCAGCCGCCCTAGGTCTTCCAAGCCTGGGGGCGAGAGGCACAGAGCCAGGCCTGTGTTCCTGCCCTCCAGCCTGGACTGAGGCCTGGAGATTAGAGCTGTGATTTCTAACCCTCGCAGGGCTGACCGGGAGGCTCGCGTGGCACAGATGTGTGTGGGCGCTGGGTATGTGTTGTGCGTGTGTGCGCCTGTCCCAACCCCAAGAGTGCCCGGGGGCAGAGCAGGTCTACTGACCTCAGTTTATCTGGGTAAATGGCCGCTAACGATAACACCCTCACACCTAGTGACCGCCGTTTTCTGAGCACACAGCCCTGGTGCACCCAGCACTATCCCCTCGAACTCTCCCCGCCCCGGGCAGTGGGTCCTGTTCTCCACCCGAGGAAGCTAAAGCTCAAGGATGGTGCTCAGCCGAAACCAGTTTGGCTCAGTAGATAGAGCGTCGGCCTGTGGACTGAAAGGTCCCGGATTCGATTCCAGTCAAGGGCATGTACTTTGGTTGCGGGCACATTCCCAAAGGGGGATGTGCAAGAGGCAGCTGATCGATGTTTCTCTCTCATCGATGTTTCTAACTCTCTATCCCTCTCTCTTCCTCTCCGTAAGAAATCAATAAAATATATTAAAAAAAAAAAAAAAAAAAAAAAAAGATGGTGCTCAGGTCAGTCCAGCTCGGCTGTGGCCCAGGCCGCCACCTGCAGCTCCCGCCTGCCGTGTGGGAGCAGCAGAGGGGTCCTGCTGTGGGGCCCTCAGGCCCACATGGTCCCACCCTCCAGGCTGCCCTGCTGCGGGCCCCCCAGGCTCCATAACAGGGACACTGTCCCCAACTGGAGTTTCTGGGACAGCCTCTAAGTGTGGAGAGAGTCACCTGGCTGGGGCCTGCCTCCAGGTGAGGGACCCTCCCCTGCAAGGCCAAGTTCATCTGGTCTCGGGGCAGCTGCTTCTGTCCCCGCGTCACTAACAGGCAGGCTGAGGTCGGGAGAGAGGAAGGGTTTACCAGGATCCCAGTGCCAGGCAGCATCAGGATGGTGACCCAGGCCCCTGCCACCTTTGGGCGTTTTCTCTTGTGCTCCTCGTGGTTCCTGCGGGAAGAGGCAAGCTAATGGACCTCGCCAGGTTCAGGGCCAGGTCAGGGATGGGGACGGGCAGGTATGAGGCTGGACAGGTGACGGTGATGGTGGACGAGCCAAGGGTTACAAGCTGTTCCTGCAGGTGGTGTCCTGCTCCCTCCCTGCCTCAGTTTCCCCATGTGCACAATGCAAGGGGATTTCAAAGCCTTGCTACCTCCTCACGTTCTGGGATCAGGGGTCAGTAAGGGGTTTCAGACGGGACTTTTTCCTGGTTGGAGACCCAGGGTTCTGACCACCACTAAGCCTGCGTTCTGGGGCTGGGGCTGGGGCTGGGCCAGGCTGGGCCAGGGAAGAGGGACACAGCATTGCTGGTCTCCTCTCGCACTGTCAGTCACTCAGCCCTCAGCATCCCGTGTCGTGTGAGACCCGCTATTAGGAAATATTAGGAAAGTGAGGCTCTGAGGGGAAGGGGTAACCTCTGGGTCACACAGGCAGTGAGCGGCGAGACCTGCCTCAAACACAGGGTGCTCAGGCAGGAGAGGCGTGGCAGGCAGGCGTCCTGGGGGAGGGGAGTCTGCACCTGTCCCTTCGGCAGTCTGACACACCCCCCCCCCCCCCCCGTGCTGGGCGTGTGCTGGTGCTAATGGGGCCTGTGGTCCCCAGCGGAGTTTGAGGGGCATTGATCCAGGGCAGGGGAAGCAGGCTGGGGGTGCCTTCCTCTGAGGGACTTCAGTTCTGATCCCTGGACCCCCGCTTTGGGGGAATTTCTTCCAAATTCCCCCAATAGACTCAACACCTCGTGTCTCCTTCACTTCCCCAGCAGCGCCTCTGTGGGAAGCAGACATTGCAAAATTAGTTCTGGATTTGGGCAGGGAGGGGGGCAGCACCCGCCTGGCTCTGGCAGATCCTGAGGTGCCCCCCCAGGAAAAAGGGAAAAAGGGAATCTGAGTCAGCACTCGGATGTGGTCCAGCCTCCCGCTGCCCGGCGGGACCAGCAGTGACAGTGAGACTGGGGCGGGGGCTGCGGATGCTCCTTCCAGGCCCCCTCGCAGTGGGACCCGTGTGCCTGCCTGTGGGTCCCAGAAGGAGTGTGATTTCCTGGGATGAGTATCCACCAGCCACGGGGCTCTGGCCGCCTCCTGTGCCCGCATCCACCCGCCATGTGGGCAGAGTGAGGGCCGTGTGCTCTCAGGCCCAGAGCCCCCCTCCAGGGCCAGCCACCGTTCCTCTCAGATCTGGTCCGCGGTGAGCGCCGTGGCCGCAGCACCCAGCGGGCCGTCCAGGTGGCCCTCCGGGAAGCCCGCTGCCTTCTGAGCCTTCGCCCTGAGCCAGCAACTGCCAGACCCTAGAGTTGCCCAACTTCCTAGCTGCTCCCTGGCTCAGCAAAGACCCAGCCTGGGGTGGGGAATGAGACCACACTCCGGCCCACAGCTTGGCCTGAGGCCGC